AACACACTGGAATTTGAGCTGGGCTGTTTCTGGAAGCTTCCATCAGCACCCAACGACGGTGTGGGAGCATACACACAACAGTGTGGAAGCTACATGTGCAGAGCCGACACCGCAGTGACGTGAGCAGCAACACAGGTGAGCTCTGCTGGAGGAACATCACGTGTTTAATTCTGACTTAATGGGGGAGGGGGTGCTGCACACTCAGACGCCTTACTGCTGCCACGTGCTTCTTGATGTGTACACTCAGTTACGTGTTCAAGACGCTGTGTAAATATTACTATACACTGGACTATTCAGAGCAGTCTAACTATAGGGCACAATGCGAGCCTCATGGGATGGAGCAGAATAGGGATAATTTGCAGTACTCCACGTGTTCACCCGTGTGTGTGTGTGTGTGTGTGTGTGTGTGTGTGTGTGTGTGTGTGTGTGTGTGTACGTGTGTGCAGTGGAGAGTGAAGAACAAGAAACAGTTCAGGAGGAGGAAGTCTTAATGTTCCCTTTTTATTCGCCTCAGTACACAAGGGAAGCAACACAATCAGTGAATGTTTAAAACACTGTAGCTGACGACTATTGGAGACTGAAGAATAAATGTGTGCAGGAATAAAAGAAATTCGGAAGATTGATCTTGGGTTTTGTTTTCTGCCTGTCTTTGAGCCCATTTTCACCCATTGTGTCTCGACAAACTGAAGTCTCTATATAAAGTTTGTATTGTGATGATAATAGAACCAAATTATACTTTTAAAATTAAGAATGCTTCAGGCAAAAAAAACAAAAAAAAAAAACAAAATGTTAAGACACATTTGTCAGCAGCTGTAATCATTTTCAAACCAGCAGATAGTCTTTAACAATTTGATTTCCAGTTGGAACTGCATAGTTCATCAAATTATAATTAAGCTAATGAGAGTGTTGCATGGTAGTGGGTTTTGTCAATTGAAGATTTGTCATTCTGGAGTAATGAGCCTTCATACATTTCACCCTTGAGATGCTTAATCTTCTTACTATCAGCGCAGGGGCATTGGCTTCTGTCCTTTAATTAGTTATGAACAAATTCTGAGATGAGCTACGTTAAATTTCAGATTTCTTGTTAATATTGCTAGTGGACTATACTGTGCTTAGAATTTCCAGTTTGTATGTCCCAGATTCTTAATATTTTTTCCTTTCATGCTGCTGAGGAGTGTGCCTTAAATTTTGTGCACACCAAGCAAGTGCTCTATTTATTTATAAATCTATCCCTTCTTTCACATTTTTTGTTGTTGTTGTTTTGTTTGTTTTGAGATAAGATCTAAGTTATCCAGGCTGGTTTTGAACTCACTCTGCAGTCAAATCAGGCCTCAAACTTGTGACCCTACAGCATCAGCATCACAAATCATTTTACATACACATAAACTCAATATGTACATTTATGATTAATATTAATGGTCAGCAAAACAGCGCTTACTTTCATGCACTGTGCCTTCACTTCCATTCTGTTTTTCTCTGTGTGTATAGTGTATGTGCATGTGAATACAGGCACTCATGTCACGTGTACATGTACATGTGCCTATGGAGGTCAAAAGTCAACATTGGGTTTTGTTTCTCAGCTTGTCCACCTTGTTTTTTTGAGGCAGGGCCTCTCATTTGAACTAGGCCTTCACAATTAGGTTAGACTGGCTGGCCAGTGACCTCCAGAGATCCTCCTGTCTCTACCTCTCAGTGCAGCATTAGAAGCATGCACCCCCTACACCTGGCTCCTTTAGCATGAGGTTCTGAGGATTAAACACGGGTCCTGATGGATCATACTGACTATCTTAGCTAGGGTTTCTATTGCTGCGAAGAGACACCATGACGACGGCAACTCTTACAAAGGTAAACATTTAATTGTGGTGGCAGCTGACAGTTCAAAGGTTTAGTCCATTATCATCATGGCAGGAAGCAAGGCAGCATGCAGACAGACATGATGCTGGAGAAGAGGTTGTGGAAGGGTTCTGACATCTTGATGCACAGGCAACAGGAAAGTCTGAGACACTGGGTGTGGCTTGGGCATATATGGGATCTCAAAGCCCGCCTCCATAGTGACACACTTCCTCCAACAAGACCACACCTACTCCAACAAGACCACACCTACTCCAACAAGGCCACACCTCCTAATGACACCACTCCCTTTGGAGGCCATCTTCTTTCAAACCAGCACACTGCCTGAGCCATCTCTCCAGCCCAGAATTTTAATTTTTGCTCTGAGTAATAGTAAAAATAACAAAAACTTCAAAAAAAATTACATGAGGAGGAACGTGACCTCTCTCACTCATGGTCTTGCTCAGTGACACCGTGTTATGTGAGTCGGATAGTGAACTGCGTCAAGGGTGGAGCTGCACAGAGAATATGGTCTACTTGATTGTGATTTTTAGAGCTGCTTCTACCGATTAGTGTCAGTCTGCCAAAGGACAGTGCCCCAGTGCCCACTTTTATTAAAAAAATATCATCGCTAAAGAAATGCTCATGCCATGGTGTGAGGATGTTCAAATGGGCCTAATACTAAACTCACAGTGTTATGAGGACTCAGTGTTATGAGGGCTCGCTGTAGACATAATGTCATAAGCTGAAAACTCCTGCACTCTGCTAGCATGCTACTGGTTTCTTGTTTTATTTTTTGTTGGGGCTTCTCATTCTTGCATGCAGCCATTGTCAGATTTTGTGACTGTACCAGTGGTGGCACCAGGCAGAACAAACACCAGGGCCAGAGCAAGGAAAGGAAAGATCCTAGGGCATTTGAATGGCTCTTGATTTCCTCATCGGGAATCTCAGCTATAGTTAGATTTCCTGCTGCCCTTAGCAGCCATTAGCTTCTGAAAGCAGGATCTGGATATGATGATTATCCCAGACTTAGAGCTACACAAACAGATTGAATTAGTATGTCAGACAATATAATTTGCATTTGGAAGTGATCTGATGTTATGATTAGAAAGTCCATATCAGAATCAGATGATACCATGGGATCTTCATGTAGATGCATAGCTAATCATGATTTATTGTTAAAGGGAAAACGAGACCACTCTTTGAGAGTTTAAGTTCTGGTTCATCTATTTCCAAATATAGTTAGGATGCATATTTTGTGTCTATATATGATCAAACTGTAGAAATGAAAAACCTAAGATTTGACACAATCATTTCCAATTTAATCAGCTAATTAACATGTGCTTCATGTGTGGAGCAATGTTCTGCACATTTGGATGTAGATAAGAAATGGTTCTTTTTCCCGTATTCTCATGGGTAGGGTAATGGCTAGTCTTGGTTATAACTTTGGAACACCTGGGAAGAGAAAAATCTCAGTTGAAGAATTACCCCATCCTGATGGTCTGTGGACGTGTCTTGGAGACATCTTCTTGACTGATAATTGAAGTAGGAGGGGCCAGCCCACTGTGGGAGGTACCGTCCCTAGGCAGGTGGGCCTCGGCTGCCCCACAGGAGCCTGGGAGAGCCTGGGCAGCAGGATGGGCTCTTGTCTGCTTTTGTTGCCAGCATCGATCGGTGTGAGTTCTCATTCAGGCTGAGGCAGCTGGCTCCATTTCCTACCTTCTTCCTCTAGTACTGTCAGAATAATCAGGACAACACCCTCTCCTCCCCATCTAACGCTGTGGGACTCCCTTTCTGCGCTCACAAGGGTCTTGTGGACAGCTTCACTCTCTCTTAGGACTTCAGCTCACCAGAGGTTGGCCTTCAGCTCTGTCTTCCCTTCCGTAACTCCCTCCATTTTGTTTGCTCTCAACACCCTATAGTCACTTTAGCCCCGCGGGAAAGTGGCCCAGACTTCTTCCCGAGCTCATCTTCCTCACTCGGCTATTGCCCATCTCCAAGTCCAGGCCGTAACAAGGAAGTACTCTTTATTGTTTCCTCTTGTCCATCCCGCTAAAACTGACCTCAGTACCCTCTAACTGGTCACCCTGTCCTCAGCCCTTTTCAAGTTCATTTACCCATAGTCAGTGGGGGCCCCAACTCTAGTTATTTCCCTGCCTACATACTCCATGTCTGTCTTCCTCTTCTCCCTGCGGTTATGTCCTAGTCACACCACACCGGTTTCCTCACTGCGCTGTTTTGCGCTTTCTTTTTACAATTTTTTTTTTTAAGATTTATTTATACTAGACAGCGGTGGTGCATGTCTTTAATCCCAGCACTTTCGAGGCAGGGGCAGGGAGATCTCTGTGAGTTTAAGGCCAGCCTGGTCTACAGAGTGAGTTCCAGGATAGCCAGGGCTACACAGAGAGACCCTGATTTGAAAAACCAAATATATATATAATGTATATGAGTAACTCTATCTGCATGTATATCTTATGTCAAAAAAGAGCATCATATCCCACTCTAGATGGTTGTGAGATACCATGTGGTTGCTGGGAATTGAACTCAGGACCCCTGGAAGAGCACTAAGGACCTCTTAACCACTAAGTAATCTCTCCAGCTCCCACACTGTGAATTAACAAGTACTTTGTAGTGAACTTCAAGGGCTTATTTCTATAGGGGTAAACCAAATTGTGATTTTAATATTAGTAACTCTACCACATGGAATATTATCCATCAATAATTAAAAATTGAAATCCAAAAATTAAACAGCTCCAAAAATCCATACTGATATGTACATTGATTTGGATGTATCTTGGGGATAAATCACACAAAGTCACACATAATTCTACTATATAACGTACTTGAAATAATAAACGTTTTGAAATGGAGATAGATTAGCAGTTGCCTGGGGTTGGGAAGTGGGTGATGAAGGCATAAGGGAAGTAGCTGTGTTCACAAATGGGCAGCAAGAGAAGCCTTGTAGTGGGTCCTTGGGGTGACTCAACTGTTGAACAACTTGACCGTATCAGTACCAGCATCCTGGTTTTGATGCCGTCTAGACTATTCCTGTTTTTCAAGATGGTGTGTGGACGTGGGGTCGGTAGTGGTAGTTAAAGGTACAAAGAACCCCTTTGTACTGTTCTTAAAATCATCCCAATGAATTCCCTCCAGAAAAAGCACAGACCTCACACCTTCAAACACAGTCTTTTTTTATTTGAGAAGGTTGCTCTGAAGGCAGTGCCCTTTGGGAAAGACGTCTCTCATCATGTACACCAACCATTACTCTCAGCAAAGTACAAAAATACACACATCAGTGACTTCCTTACAATAAATACATAGTCATGCATCCCACAATAGAAGGCACCGAAACTGGTCACTTAGTAGTCATAAAAATGATTAGCTACATTAACAAAGCCACCCAAATTATCTGTACAAGGAAATGTAACAATATATTCCAAAGGTGAAAACACATTAAAACATCTTTAAAATAGTATGCAATAAATATCTCAATTGTCATATAGATTTTAAAAATTATGCCATTGTAAACAGCATGTAAACAAACAAAACTCACGTCTTATCATTATTAAAAGTAAGCAGAGCCAAAGTTATAACCTCTGCTCTGTCAGGTATATTTCAATGGCAAGTGTGCTAAGCAGGTAAAAGTTTCACTCTTTTCTGTAGCAAACAGAGGCCATTGTGTAATAAAGAGGCAGACTTTATCTGCATCTTTCAGATATAAGGATTTAGTTTCAAAACGGACTACCAAAATGTAGTAAATTCTTAGCTATAAATATGGTGAGGCTAAATTAAAACTATCTTTTTTAATATACAGAGGAGAAGGAACTACGCTGTTAGGTTTTTACCATGATGGTAACAGGAGGGAGGTAAGTCCTGATTATCTTTATTGAAAGTGAAATGAACGCGCTGGGTAGAAGGTTACAGTGCCCAGCCTTCCTTGTCCAGTTCCTTTGTAGACCTTTTGCAAAGCTGAACTAAGCATAAAGTTATCAAGTGGAGACCTTTCTTTTGCTAAGGGACACAGAAATGGTTGGTATTTTATATGATGGGAAATAGTGATTTCAATATATGCTTATTGAAATGTGAAAATACAAACCAACAAAGCCCTCCCCTTGAAACCTTATTGACAGTAAAGATAAAGACAGTTTATTTCTTCATTCTCATAAAGGAAATCTATAGCCTACCCATCAATAAATATTTAGAAGTCAGTATCATAACTCAAATGTTTGCTGTCTCATCTACATATCAGAACCTTGTGGTGTACAAATACTAGTGTATTACTGTATGCCAAGATACATGTGCTACCTGTTAAATGCCATTACTTTCTGCTCTCCATAGCTAAGGTGCTAATCTAAGGTGCTAACACCAACCTGCAGCTTCAAACAGAGCTTTCCCATCTCCTAGGAAACATGACAGTGTGACCTCCATCCTCCCCTGGGGGTTTATAATGTCGCCCCTCATGCATTTTGCTATGAATGTCATGAATTTCTCCCTTCCCAAAATAAACCTGAGATTCACCCTTTTCTATAAAGCGGACACTGGAGTCCAGCACAGCTCCTCTAGTGGTAGAAGTAGTGTAGTGCAGGATTAATGAAGCACACACTTGTACTAGCTAGACTCTGGGACTACAAAAATAATAGAGAAATTCAGTGGGAGAGGTGTGTCTGTCTGGGTATGTGTAACTGAACATGATATTAATAGAAAAACTTTGACTATACATGAAGCATGGATGAAATACTGGCCTGAAAGTTAAGCTGTCATTGAGGTGGATTAACAAAAACAACTAATAAAAACATGCTATAGGAAGGCTGAGGCAAAGCATTACAAGTTGGAGGCTATCCAACAGTGCTTCACAGAACACTGACTTTGCACAGTTCCTTGGATGAGCTGATCTGTGGCATGCCACTATGCCAAGGTACTGAACCCACACACTGGAGCTCTTCTACATTCCTGGGCTAAGAAAGGTTAATGAAGGGTGGAGGATGCCTACGGGGTGGCAGGGCAGCCAGCACTGAAGTCACTGATCAGCCCTTTACCCCCATGCAGCATGCTCAATACAGAGTCCATGCTGCTAAGGGACAGGAAAGCCTACTCAAGGACTTTTAGCAAAGAGAAGACAAAACATAGGTGTGTCTCTGTACTCTGGGAAGAGAGAATGCAAGTAGGAAATTGGGTTGCTGAAGAATTAGCAAAAGAACGGGAAAGAAAAATGGTGAAGACAGAGACAAGGCAGTAGAATTATTACTTTAGTGCAACTAGGGAGACACAGAACTCAAGATGCCATTTGAACTTCTGGGATGGTAAAATATATATATGCAATAAATAGCAAAAAAAACCTATAAAATAATTTACTTGCATAATCTAAAACCTCCATTAGGATGAAGCACTTGTTCTGTTCCATATTTCATTTTAAATTTCTTGTCAGAAAAACACAATTTGCATAATGTTGTCATAAACACAGCATCATCTTTCTGAAGGCTTTTCAAGTAAAAGTGGAGGGAACAAAAGAACTGTGGGTACCAAGACCTGTCTCATTTGCACATTCAAACACTGGGGCCTCTCACCTGACATCTGTAATAGGACACGTGCTGAAGTTATACTGAATATCAGCTATAGTGGGGTCAACTCTCAGGCAGGTCTCCAGGGCAGGTCTCTGGGGGAAACAAATTCCCAGCAAAAGAATTTCTCTCAGTCAATGTACCAAATCATTCTACAATAATCATTTAGAGATCAGCCATCATGAAAGTTAAGTTGTCATTATTGTGATAGAGAAAGAAGGCTGTGGTAAAGAATTACAGGTTGGAGGTTATCCTGAGCTACATAGTGAATTTGAGGCCAGCCTGGGATAGGACCATGTGTTAAGATCATATCTCAAAATACAAATAAACTCAAAGAAAAAGCATGCAGATGAATTCCAATTTAGTCTTTTTCCTTATGTCATATAGTGTTCACGTTTCTAGAATCCCAATATTGGGGGAAGGGAGGCCACAGGAGCTCTGAGTTATCAAGCTATGCTGTAATAAACTGCCATATTTGATAAAGAACTTCTCAGAGCAGAAATCAGCCAGTATGGCTTCTTCACCAACTGGCTAAAATCAAAGGGGAATTTGATCTAAATCATTAGATCAAAATGTCCTATGAAAATAAGCTCACACTTCGCTAACCCCCATCTTTAACTGCAGTGATTTCTAATGAATTTCTCTTGGATTTCCACTGTGGCAATAATTAGGACATCTGCTTCTGTTTCTCTGTGGGATGTTTTTGGAGGTACACTGCACAATGGAATACTATTCCAAGTCAGAGAATGTAGGGAGGAGGCCGTGCTCTATCTAGATCAAAGATGCCATTTTGGAAGATGTTGAAATATCAAGAGAGGCATATCACAGGGAAAGCAGGCAAAGAATCCTGTTGCTTCACTTCTAAGCTAGAGCTTTCATGAGGTCTCTTCTTGGGGTAATTACACTAAGGAAGTAGGTGAAAGCCTTGCTGAAAACTCTGTTTATCTCCATAAAATAGCCATTTAACATGATCATAGAAAACCTGAAACTACCCTAAATGTTTGAAGATTTCAGGAGTGAGTTTCTAGCTGAAATGAATGCTATATAGATTAAAAGACCCATGACCTACTCCGGGCAGATGTTACTCATTCAACCTCACTTTTTGTTTTGTTTTTGTTTGTTTGTTTGTTTGTTTGTTTCTACTCTTGCATTGTTGGAATTGAATCAGGGTTTCAAACTTGCATAACAACCACTTTACCACTGAGCCACCTGCCCTTCGTGTCCACATCTAAATGGAATGTCAAGGGTTACTACGATTTTTTTTTTCATGTGATAACTGGGATGCCTTTCTTTATAACTAAAATGACACTGAGAAAGAAATGGTAAATCAAGGTAGGACTCATGCTGATATCTGTCCTTTCTTATAGCAGAAAAATGATTAATTACTTGTAACTGGCAGTGTGGGGCAACTCTTCGAACTGGGAACCCAAGGCATCAAAATATATTATTTGTACAAAAGACTATGAGCCATTGACAAGGTGGAACAGAATGAACCTCTTCAGGATCCAAGAGGTCAGTTCTACATAAATACTATAAATTAAAAAAAAAAAGTATTAAGGAAAAGGTATCACAGCTAATACATTTCAAGGCTCAGCGAATTCAGGAAAATTTCTTTGGTGTTCATGGTATGGACTGAGTCACCTTTATCTTGTCCTTTACGGGAACCATCTAAACCCCTGTGACTGGTTCCCACTGCGTCTATTGCTGAGTTGAGAAAGCACAGACATCTCTACCCTGTGAAATAAACATTTGCAGGAGCTGTTCCAAATGTCATGGAGATTAGGTCACCCCAAGTGCCTCCTAACTAACCTATAAATTTCTGCAGCAAAATGGGCTCCCTGGAGAGTTAATTAGCTAACTTCTAGGAAGGATTTCAGACATGACCAATGGGGCACTTTCTGAGGTTCACTGCCCACCATGTCACACATTTCATGTGTGCTCTGACCTACAACACAACATGAAAGATGTGTTCAAACTCTTTGTTCCTAGGCCTTGCCAAACTGCCACAAGTTCTAACATATTCTCTTTTTTTTTCTATCCTCAATAAATGCATCTACAACAGTATAATATAAAGCTCTGTCATTAAAAGCAAACTAATTCTTAATTTCCTAATAGGTTTAAATAACTTACAATTCACCTGCTGTTCACATCATAAATAGAAAACAGTTGGATTTAGGGATTAAAGTGTTTTCTTTGATTTACAACTTTCAGTGGGATTTTTGAAAACAGAAATCCTTGTTCTTTCCCTGAAAACAAGTGATTTTATTCTGCATGGTATGTTGTGCAAATGCATTTGAAATGTTTGGGTTTTTGAATAGTTGAGTCAAGAATATATACAAGTGGGAATCATGAAAAACTTAGTTAAACTTTCTCGCTATTTGACAGAAATAAGCAAACAGTATCCATCATGGATACCATTTGCAGTATAGCCCCAAATCACAGGGAAACAGATTTCCAGCACAGACTTTGGAGCCAAAGGGTAGATGTTAGAGGTGTGAGGTCTTTGGGAGGATTCAAGACTCAATGCTTATCGGAATTGGCCAGTGCAAAACTAAAAATCCACTACAAGAAAAGAGTTACAGATTGAAGACATAACATATATTGGGCAAAATATAGCTTAACAGATCTCTTGACTATATTATTCATTTTCGTGCTTTCTTTCTGCGTTGTGCCTTTTTAGATATAAAAACCATTTTGTAGAAAAGTTCCTATGACTGTTCAGCTACCTAAGACAGGAAAGAAAATAGGGTGGGGTTTTTTTTTTGTTTTTTTTTTTTTGTTTTTAAAGAAGGAAAACACTGGGCATCTGTTTGACAGAAATGAGCGTTTCAAGTATATAAGTCAACCATGAACAGAGCTATTACACTCCAGGCCACAGCAGTGAAAATGAAAGGAGCTCAAATACAGATTCTGTATAAAGAGTACATTTCACAACATAATAAATAAGGGCACTGATTTATACAACTGGTTCTAAGGAATACTGCCTTTAAGGGACGGACGGCGCTGACGTCAGCGCTGTCCCATAGAGAGAAATTCAAAGGTGCAATTCTTGCCCCTAAAGCCACAAAATATACAAAGCTTTTATATCTGTTTGTTATTAAATATTTCGTCTGCCAAAAGTCTTGCAAACGCAAATACATCTTGGCAAGGTTGAATAACCAGCATGGTAATTCTTTTGGTATAAAAAGGTAAGAAAAGTTGTAATATGAAAATCAATAATACCAGTAAAGGAGACAGCTGTTGTACAAATAGATTGAAACATACAAGTGACTTTTATCCCATGGAAAGAGAAGAAAAGTCAATGCAATTTACTTGAAGGCTTGAAGATAACTTTCATATTTACCAGCTCTAGATAAATATATTATTCCAATGTGTTAGTCATCTTCAGTATACAATACATAACTGACAAAACTGGGTGTGCTGTGATACCCAAACCTTTCACATCACTAGCTAGCTCCTATCAGCTCTGTAGGCAGCCTTCGGCTGCACATGTCTTCAGTACTCAGAATGTAGAAGTAGGAACGGCTAAGCTGTGTGGAACAACAGTACAATCAAATATTAAGGGTCATAAAACACATTCTCCTTCCTTGTTTGCTTATATATTTAACTGCACTCTCCTACTTTGATAGCATCAGTTGAGTATGAAACGTCTTTATTTTAATGTATTTTATAAGTAACCCTGTGTTCTGTTGGTTAATTTACTCTTGAAATCTAGATAGTAAGAAATACCCGGACTATTCACAAAGTCTTACTTACAAAATTTGTAACTTGTAGCTAGAAGGAAATATTTTTACGTGGATTTTTAAATAAGTTTAAAGCTGTGGCTTGGTTTTTATTTTCCAGCTAAAACTTGGAAGTGCAAAAAAATGAGTATATTAAATAATGTAAATACAGTATCTTAAATTACATAAAAGGAAGTGAGTTGTTCACCTATAATATATAATGTGGAGCCTATCTTAAGCATTGTTATTGAGTTAATACAGTCCTGGCTACTCTGTCTAATTGCTTTACCTGAAAATAACAGACAACTATAGAGAAATGCAGGTACAGTCCAGCTGTCTTTAGCTCCCGTTCTCTGTATCGACAAACCTTTATATATTTTCTTCTAATATAAACATCTCTAAACAAAACCTGGGAAAATAGCAATAAAGAAAAATAATGCTTTGCCTATTATAGGGAAACAATAATTATCACTCTCTAAAGTTCTACTTGCAGCTTTGTGAAGGAATCCTATTGCTAAGGCATCGTTACCAATATGAGGGAGATTGTAACACAAAAGTCCACTGAGAACACCACAGCAGAAACAAACTGAGGCAGGGCTCACTACGCTTGGGGTGGGGCAGTGGCAGGGGAAGCCAGGCAGCCGAGTTGGGGAACACTGGCAAAGGCTATCCCACGAACCAACAGTCCCCTCTGAGGAAGTTTCATTTCTAATTCCTTTTTCCCACCTGTACTGGGGAGAGTTTGGTGTTTGAAAATCAACTTACACCTACAGAGAATGTGTCCATTGAGGTGGGGGAGCTGAGAGAGACTCCAGATGTCAGGGTTGAGAAGGAAGTGATTTTACAGCTAAATTAAAATGGATATCCCCCAAGAATTCATCCTTGGAAAATGAAAGTTCACTAGCTCAGCTGGAGTTGTAAATGATTTGCTCTAGAAGTAATGCACAAAGGGATCTCCTTTAATTTCTCAATTCATAGCTTGTCAATTCATGTCAAAATAACCCATGGAGTCAAAAACAGTAAGATTCTTGTATAGCAAAGTAGCTAGGAAGTTATGTTTGGGTAATTTATATCAAAATATAAAAATTAAGTGTCAAATTCCTGGCAATAAATCACTGGGAAAAGATCTCATTATAGAATTGAACAATTTGAGTTTGGAGGCCAAGAACATATTGTTTTTCAGGAACTATTTTTAAGGGATTATGAACCATGTGAAAATCAAGATAAGTTAGCATAAGACAAAGAGATCCAAATCTAGCAAAATATGCCTGCTTTCAGGCATATTTTTATGTTTAAATGACATTTACTTTTCTTGAAATTATTTGGATTCTTCATCTTTTTTTTGTTCTTTTGTACACCTAATGAGTCATTTAATGTGTGTGGGCTGCTATGAGCCTTCAAGCATGAACTATGGCAACAGGATAATCTACTGATACAAGAAAATGAAAATGTACAAGTTGAAGGAGACTGCCTAATCTTCATCTCAGTACATATTCTTCTGGAATGTTCAGTGTGAATGAAGTCATGAGCAACTGAATGCATCACATGAATAACAAACTGAGCAAATGTGGATAGCTCAGTGGTAGCTTAAAGTCTCTAAGGGCTGGAGAGAGGCCTGAGGGATATGACTGAAAGGAAGATTTGAATTCAGCAGACCTGGAGTGGACCTGAGGTTCTGCATTCAAAAATGTATTTATTTATTATTGTGTGTATATGCATGATAATGTGTGGGTGAGCATACCATGGTGGGCATATTGAGGCCAGAGGACAAGTCTATAAGAGGTTTTTTCCCCTCCCACTTTTATGTGTCATCTGGCATCAAACTTGTTGCCAGACCCGCTGAACCATCTTGTCAGCTCCAGGATTCTGCAATTTTTGTAAGCTCCCGAATAACAGTGATGCTGACTGCCCATGGACCACATTTTCAGTAGCAGTGACCCAGGCTACTGCTGTCAAATGGAGTATTTTTGCAATGGTGACAATGTTCTACATCTGTGGTTACAGGGCACTCAAAATGTGGATAGTGCAACTAATAAATGAAGTTTCGAGTAAGACTAAACTTTAATAGCCACAGGTGCCCAGTGGCTAAAATACCAGAGAGCACAGATCTGAACATCCACAGAACATCTCTCCTCCTCCACAGCAGTATGTCTCCAATGGCCTAACGTTTCAATTATCTAGCAAACTGAACATTTATTTAATTGCCCCCAACATTTTGCTAAATGACCTGTGACATTAAAATGAAAATCAGGGAGGTGAAAGGTTTCATGGGGTAATGGAGAAAGGGGAGCAGAAGGCAGCGAGAATTTGGGCAGACATGGATGAGTCACCTGGAGTTTTACTTAAACTTAACTCTGTTCCTTTCCTTTGGGGGTGGGGAGGACAAATGAACATTAAGTAATTTGGAGGAGAGAAGAGCAAGCTACAGGCAGGTGCACAGGTGAGCATCTCTTTCCACTTAAGCAAGGATCAAAGACATATCCTCTGCATCCCAGATGTGACTGGATCTTAGTGAGAGGCATCCCCCACTGTCTTGTTTTTGAAACCCTACCTCGGATGAGATGGTTTCTTTCTGACACTAGCAGAGACTGATGGAGTCTCTGAGAGCACACTGCTGGTAAGCTGAACTCACTGGCGTCCAGCCCTGATTCATGCGGGCATGGATTACAGAGAAAAATGTTCACACTGGACAAAACCGCTCATCCAAACTGTTATCTTAAAGGATGTCCGTCATCCCAAAATCATTCTACTTAATGAAAGTTTTCATGAGTTGGGATTTTACAGAACACATAAAAGGTGTTAGCAGGAACTGGAAAGATTACCAAACAAAGGAAAAGCCAATCACTGCCCACCCCTAGGGAAGTAGCCATTAGAACATGTTTTTGTGTGTGTTGATAGAGATGTATTGGAGGCAGGTGAAAACCCAATAATGGTTTCTATATTAACACAGACCTGGAGTGGTCTTTATGCTGGAGTCCCTCCCCGCCCCTAGCCCTTTCTCCTAAACAATGATCTGGGGAGACCTCTGGGAATGTGTCCTCTGATAACCTGGTTTCACAGGAAGTGTTGGCAGGGTACTCACCAGGCGGTATACAAAAGAGACTGCAAAGGAGACCTTCAACTTCACAGGTGTGCAGAACATCAAAATCACTAAGTGATTGGCTGATTGTCAGCTCAAAAGCCTCGATAGGAATTATCTTTGGAAAACTTCCATTGTGCACAACTTAGGTAAAAAATATATAGTCAGACATACTTATATGGTTAGGAACCCATCAAGATTGTCTGTAGAATTTTTTGTTTTTGCCTTGCTGTGGGTGGAGCCAAGCTCTGCCTGTTCCAGGTAAGAACCCCACCACTGAACTTCAGGCCAGGTCTTCATTTATTTTAAAGGTATCTAAATTTTGTAATATTTTTTACTAGTAAATACCCAAGTTAGAAATAAAATGTCAAATATTGGGCAAATGATTGTCTGGAAAGTATCAGGGATCTGTATCTCAAGACAACATGTGAGTAAGTGCATTTATATAGGTAAAGGTATATGGGCATGTAAGTGTACACGTGTGTGTGTGTGTGTGTGTGTGTGTGTGTGTGTGTGTGTGTGTTTATCTACTGGGCAACTAGCAGATTACTATCAAAACTGTATCCGCTGGATCAACAACCTGCTTGCTTCTCATATCTCATAGAACTTCCAAATATTCCAATTGATTTTTGGCATATAATGACTAGAAAACACTTATAAAGATAGTTTTACTTTTTTGACATATATACCTTTGGCTTTCAAACTTGGTAATTCTATTGAGCAACACTGACATACAATGGTTTAAAAAAAGGAAAGTAATTTCTACCTGGTAGACTATCAAAATGTGTGTGATATAATAATACAAAAAGCCCTTAAGAAGCAAAACTAAATTTCTTTCATTGGGGAATTCATGTCAATAATTGCTTCAGCTGGTGCAGATAACTCAGGGGGCAAATCTTAGCTGAGACATTGGACAATTCCTAGATGTCCACAGTTTTACAAATTCAAGCAGAAACTCAAAATGGTTATTAAATTGAAATGAAAAAAAAAATGGGAACAAAATGTGAGGATTTGGGTTTGGAAAGTTGCAATAAGTTCTGTTAGGCAACAGAACATGTAAAGCTTATGAAAATGGCCCAACAAGTCTCTTAATGCATATACCCATGGTTTGGGATAGGCAAATAAATTTGGTTTGCATAAGATATATATCATTTGCTGATCATGGCACAGATGAATGTTCACAGAGTCTCAGTATGGAGTATTTACTTAAAAGTCCACACTGAAGAAAAGTGCCCTTAACCAACGAAAAGTGCTTGGGTAGCTGGGTGGTAATAAATTAAATTTCATTATAACAGACATTAAAGCTATTGAAGTACTACAATAATATATATGACATGCAAGAAAAAGAAGGACAACTCAGGCAGGAACATCGTGCATTAAATTTGCATCATTCATAGTATGTGATGGGTTGGTCTCACCATATTCTTTGACCGGTGCATACCGGGAACTTAGGGTGAAAACACTCAAAACACAACTCCTCTCTTCATCTCCTACCCGGAGGTTTCTAGGAAGGAGCCAATGCCTTCACTAAGGAAGCCTGAGAAGTTTCAACTGCATACCGTCCACACAGCTGCAGGTGCACGAGAGAGCCTCCGTCAGCCAGCTCTATGGAGAATGGACGACGAGCCAAGTCCACCTTTTAGACAAGGCAACTGTCTCTGGTCCTTCTCCCACTTTTCACTGCTGCAAGCATTTCCTAGCATGTCAGGTTTGCCCAACAAGAAAATGGCTTTGTGGAATGGGTTGAGTTGGGTGTTTGGTGTTTTTTTTTTTTTTTTTGTTTTTTTTTTTGGCACAAAAATTATTTTCTAATACCTTAAATCAAAACTTTCACCCACAGCAAAACATCAATCCAGAGAGGTGCTTCGGTGGTGCTTATCTACCAGAAAATCACAAGAACAGCCAGCGGCTTCCAAGAACGCTGTATTGAGTCCCGAGAACTCCTCTTCCAGGAAATAAATAGCACCAGTGCGACCGCACCTCAGACCAAGTTGGGAGGGTTCCTTTCAAGCTCTTTAATTCCCTGGAGAATTCGCTTCATATGACCCACTTTCGGTATCCCCAGGTCCTAAAAAGAAAAAAAAAAAGAAAGAAAGAAAGGAAAGAGGGGGGAGGGAGAAAGGAGACCAGTTTACCAATAAGGAAGACGGGAAATTAAAATTTCAACTAGTAATTATCATAATTAGCACTTACTTTATCCATTTTATTAACAGTTTATATTCAATGGTTCTGGAAGGGATAGCTAAAAAACTAAGCTAGTAAAACGGAAATAGCCTAATACTGAAAAAAAAACGACCAATCAATAAAAAGATACCATACCCCATACAAATCCTCTTGGTATCTTCATGGATTATATACAGCTAGGAAAACTGTTCAAGAGTCAAAACTAATATGGTTTCTTCCTCTCCCTTTTTGTTTTTTAAAGACAAGCTCCTTTGTGAATTGAGGCAAATGATGAAGGACAGCTGGGCATTTAAGGCACATGCTTTTATCATGTTCATACACACACACACACACACACACACACACACACACACACACACACACACACACATTCTTCTTCTTTTGGAGACAAGGTCCTGTTGTCTTGTCCAGCCTACTCTTGAACTCTTTGTGATTTTCCCGCCTCAACCTCTTGAATGATGCACCACACCCAGCTTTTGTGCTTAAAATTGTGGCCTGCCAGACACAGTGGCACATCCTGAAGTCCCATGATTTAGGAGACAGAAGTTGGTGGATAAAGAACTCAAGGCTGTCCTTGGCTATATTACGCTACAGTGACCATGTGGAGGCCGGAGGGCAACTTTTGGGAGTTGGTTCTCTCCTTCCACTCTTTCGAGGCAAGGAAGGTGTCTCTTGTTTCAGTTCCTTTTCAGTGCAGCCCAGGCTGGCTGGTCCCAGCACGTCTAAGTGATTCTCCTGTTATTCTCTCCCATCTTTCCTAAAACCCTCCCAAAGGTAAACTACAAGATGACTTGTTTACAAAATGGAAACGTTCTAAGAAAGTTCACTCAGTTCTATAATGTAAGGTCTGGATTTTCTTTTAAACTTAGAAATGAAGCATATCAAACTGATTTAAATTACACGCATGGAAACAGCATACACTATCTCTCTCACACTTTAGAGTAGTAATCATAACCATCGTTCTAAATCCTCCTGGAAAACAAGTTTTCCATAGCTAGTGCTATTCAAGCTTGGGATCATTTCAGGGTAACATTTTTATCAAACTTAACTGACCCAGAAAAACAAATGCTCTCATGTGCTACCAGGGTAAACGTAATTAGTCCCAAGGCTCTACACATTTCTTGGGTATGTGATAAATATCAAACTTGAAGGCAAGCCCAAATCCATGTCAGTTGCATAAATTTGGAATGTAAATGAGTATTTCAATGGGGCTGGGGAGATGGCTCAGTGACTAAGAGAGCTTGTAATTTTTCCTGAAGACACAAGTTCAATTCCTAGCACCCATGTCAAGTGGTTTACAACTACCTGTAACTCTAGCTTCGGGATCCTACGCCTTCTGCTGGCCTTGTGGGCACGGTACACATGGCTTATACTCACACAGATATACACATAAATAAAAAATCATTTTCTTGCAAAAAGAATGTAAATGCTATACTTCAGAGTTCCCATTCAAACAGCAGACTTGTTCTTTAGACTTTGTAATAATATAGTACTCTACTTATAAAATACATTTAAATATCAGATATCTTATTTTAGGCCATATAAACACTGCATTCTCCAGAATACAGACACTTTTGGTATTCTACTCAGAAGTACTGTGCTGGTACAATGAGAGGAATGTCTTCTAGAGGGAACACAGTTACAATGGCTTCTTAGCTACCTTTCTTTCCTTTGACCAGCTTCAGTATCTACATGTTTTCTAGTTGTTAGGTTGTAATAAAAGATTTGCTTTGACATTTGATATAGCTGCCATTTTAGCAGGTATCATATGCATGCATCATTGTATATTTAGCTTTTATGTGGAAGTGTTTCTGTGTGGATGTATGTGTGCAGACAGGTGTGTGGTTTGTGCGTGCATGTAGTAGCCAAAGATCAACACAGTGTCTTCTCCTTTTTTTTTTTTTCTGGTCTTTTCCTTTTTTTAAGACTCTGGTTCCTGGCCCTCCAGGCAATGTCAGGGGTGGGCTCCCTCTTGTGGCATGGGTCTCAAGTTGGACCAGTCATTGGTTGGCCACTCCCATAATCTCTATGCCATCTTTACCCCAGCACATCGTGCAGGCAGGACAAATTGTAGGTCGAAGGTTATGTGGCTGGGTTGGTGTCCCAATCTCTCCACTGGAAGCCTTGCGTAGTTTTGAAATGGGGCCTCTCTGAACCTGGGGCTCATTGATTTGGCTAGATTCCTGCCCAGTCTCCATCTCTCCAGACCTGTATACTTATTTTATTGTATTTATCATACCTTATTTCTGACTTTTTGTTTCTTTGGATGAATGGACCAAATTTTGCCCAAGACTCCTTTGTAGATACTGAGTTATCCTTCCAGGTACCCGTACGCAACTTTCAGAATGTGGGAGGGGGGCAGCCCTCCACTGTGCCTCTTCCATCCTCTCCAGCATCCCTCCCCTCCTGTGCTGCAGCACGGGAAAGGTCACTGACAGCTTCCTGCTCTGCTAAAGCATGTTAGAAATGTTTCTCTTTGCCAAGTATCAGGGTATTATCTTCGGTTGTTTAGTAATCTCCCGTGATAAGGAAGGGACATTCTGGCCAAGCCCTGGGAAGGAGCTAACTGGGTGAGGGGTAGTGAGAGAAACAGGCAATGAGGACACACCCTTAGGGTCAGTAACAGTATTTTTAAGCAACTGAAAGAAGGCCAGAGTGGATGGGCCAGGGGCCAGTGATAAGAAGGTGGAGTAAACAGGCAGGGCCTTTGGGCCTCCACAGAGATGGATGCCATTGTTCTCCCAAGAATGAGAAGCTGCTGGAAGATTTGAAGGAGAAAAACAACATGCTTGGTTGAAGATGACATCATCGTATCATAGTGATTCAACATGAACTATGGGCTGGAGAGACAGAGGACCAGTGAGAAGACCAAGACGAAAGCTACTGATCTTCCACAAGAAGGTGGGATGTGGGATGCAGTATGAAGGAAACTCCTGGGAAGAACTGGAGAGCAATGATGGTACAGGATCTACTGTGTAAGAGTTTGGCTGGAATGGCTATATGGATCAGGAAGAGGGAGGTGCTAACTCTGACTCTGGGTGTCTCTGCTTCTGGCACCCGAAGGGCTAGGGGCATAGCTGAGAACAGAGCAGAGCCGGAGTGAGACAGAGCAGGAGTGGGACAGAAGATGAGAGTCCCTCTTGGGACGCAGTAAGATCTATGCCCTTTGTGATACTCAAGTATCTGGAGCCAGTTGGCAACAGTTAACGTTCATTAATGAGGTCAAGGGCTTAGAGAAGACTGAGAATCACTGACTTATTCAGGAGTAGGAGCTGAAGCAATGGGATCACTCCACAGTAGGTGGTTCTTTCCCAGCCTCTTTGAACTAGTCTACAGTCTGCTGCTTCTGACAGGTAGACACAGAGGACAGGGAAGTGGCTCTCCAGTCTCACGGTTTTGTTCTCTAGAAGGCTATCTCTGTAAAAATGTCTTCTTCCCATAGCCCATACCCTATTTTAAAACCAAAAGAGTTAAGTGGTGATGCAAATTTCTAAAGGAAAGTATCAAGGGAGAGAACATAATTGGCCTTAAAAACACAAAGAAAACAAATTCAAATCATGAGAAGCTAATGAGAAAGTTTAGCAAATTAATTCTTAATCATCTCCTTTCTTCTCTTAATTTCTTTTTTTCTCTCTCCACTGGTGACCATCTCTCTAATTTGGCTTCTGTGTATACATGAGCTTTAACATTTGGCAAATTTTGGGACATTCAATGTGTGTGTGTGTGTGTGTGTGTGTGTGTGTGTGTGTGTGTGTGTGTACATTTGTGTGTTAAGTATATATCTGTATATGTAGTCACATAACATGAACATGTATGTATCTAGGTGTACTTTAACATACACGAGTCTAGCATATGTATGATGTGAGCCTCTAGAAGGCAAATGACACAGAGGGATCCTAGAACAATCCATTAACAAGCAACTGACTGTTCAATAAATATTGCAACCTGCCAATGTTATCAGATGCTACATAAACACTAGCTATAAAAAGGCCCTATAGTTCTGTGTATATGTCATGTGTGTGCACATGTGCATGCATTCATGTCAAGTTCTGAGGTCAATCTTTGCTTTATGAACTTAAACACAGTGTATTCTAAACTGCATCCATTAGGACACACAGAATAATTAAGCTATTATTTTATTATTATCACAGCTAACAATGTTTAGAAAGGAACAGCATTCTCCTTTTGATCTGCTAAAGCACTGTACAACTCCTTAATAAAGACATGAACTTTACACTATCCATTACTTGGGCCAAGATCTCTGCTAAATTGTGCAGATGAAAGCATGAGAGTCATGAATAAGCTAGAAAAGTCATCACTCCATACACTTTAGAACATGATCTATCAGTAAGGGATTGTTTCAGCAATGTTATTTATTGTAGTTGTAAAATGGCAGCATGTAGCGAGCAAATATAATACAGTAAACTCCTATTGTGCATGCTTCTCCGCGTGTGCATTCCTGTGGAGGTCGGAAATTGATCTGTGCCTTCCTTCATCACTCATGACTGCATTGTTTTTGGACAGGGTCTCTCACTGAGTTTAGAGATCATCGGAGAGATTGGCTGGCCAGAGAATCCTCCTGTCTCTACTCAGCCCCAGTTCTGAGGTTTAAGACACATGGCACCACGCTGCTGTTGTTTGCATGGGTGCTGCGGATCGACCTTGCATTCCTAGGCTTATGCAGCGGGAGCTGACTATATCTCTTCAGCTCCTGTCTTCTAGTCATATATCCTGGACAGAATAATCCTGCCTTGGCTGTTCGACTGTTGAGTATGTACCCAAAGAAAACCAGGGAATTACTGCACATCATCAGTGAAAGGTTTTCTGGCTTTGGCATACATGACTGAGAAAGCAGCTATGCATATTTTTAGCTCCATTTACTAAAAAAAAAAAAAAAAAAAAATAAGTTACTTCTTTTTGAGACTAATAAGCCATCAACAATGTGTCACGGAAAGGGAGTTTTGATTTACTGGTCTAGTTATTCATGTGACCTCTAAAGCCCAGCTTAGAAACAGAACAAAATCCCAGGACTCTAAATTATCATGGCTGTCTCATATGTACTTTCATTGACTAGAAAGACTTTCTTATTGGTATTTTACATTGATTTTTAGTTAACCTTATATTCAATTCATTTTCAGTCTTTTCCAACAATTGCCATCACCATCCATGCAGCCCCAACACAGTGAGATGGTAGAAACAGGTCCCACTTGGAAACGTTAGGGCAGTACCAGTCACACCAATGGATGCAGAGAGAAGTTATCAGGTGCATGCTGTGCTTCAGCTATGAGAGTCAGTCAGAAAAGGGCTCTGACAGGAAAACATTGCTGAGGTTCTCACTGGAAAGGCACAAAAGGAAAGTCAGAGCACAAACAATGAATGGGTGAGATGACTGAACATTTGCATAACACAAGCCAAGCTGAAAGCACGTGACAGAGGACACACAGGAGGAAAGATTCTATGTTGCAAGAAATGGTCCAAAACCAAAGCTCAAAAAAAAAAAGTATACCTTAAGATCTCGTCTTTCCAGATGCAAAAGTTCTGCCCCTCTGATGTCATGACGGATGAAGATTTCTTTGTACTCTCCCAAATTGAGCAGATCCAGCCAAGCAGCAACTTCCTCTGTGCCCCAATTCTGAACTACCAAAGTTAAGAGCAAAACCCCCTTAATTTCTACATGCACAATGCATTACAAAGCAAGGGTCGGCCATAGAAGATGCAAGACAGCAGCAGCAGCGCTAGCAAAGGGCAGGTGGTGCAGTGGTGCTTCACAACGCCTCCCCCCCCACCCATGCAGGTTACAGACCGCCAACAGACACGAGGAGGATTTGACTACACAAAGATGTGTGCCAGATGTGCGCACCCACGCCTCCAGCTGTAGTCCAGCTTCTCATCTGAACTACACAACGCGCATTAGGGCATTAACTTTGCGCCATTAGAATCCATGATGCAAAAAATCATCATGAGCTCTGATGCCTTAAGGCCACGGGTGAAAAATGTTTCATTAGAAGTGAGCTATAAATGTTCGTTAGAATCTGATCTGAGCTACTTGGTTTTATACATTTTTCTGCTTGGGTCCTGCTGACTTCCAAGTGTTGGCCTTTATTGACTGTACTGTCATGGACAATTCCAACAATAAACGGCTACAGATTGCTTTAACGTCATTTAAAAACTGTTTAGACTGCTATCCAAGACTCGTTGAATTATACTACTTTTCAGTATGGATATCATTCTTTCAAACCTTTTATTCAAGATGATGAGTTAGCATAATAACCCCCCCCCCTTTCTTTTTGCTGTGTTTGGTTTTTACATCTAATAACTCTCCCTATAGATGTAAGGTTTTACACCACTTTTTTTAAAGACCATAGGACTAATGCAGAAGAATCAATGAAATTCTTCTAGGAATTTATAGTTATTTCATTGCGAAAGGCAGATCTAGACCCAGAACTCCCAAGGTACTAGCACAGAGAGCATCGAGTTCAACTTGGAGGGAAGGGAACCAGGAAATTAGCAGGGTATGGGAGAAACGTGCGCCTATGTTATCAAAGGGTGGAGTACTGTCCTTAAAACCGGGGAAAAAGAGGATTTGTAACTTCAGGGAAAAAAGATAGTTAGCAAGCAGAGTAAAAGAAAATGTCTATGTTCTCCTTATCAAAGCAATTTGGCGTTTTAACTCTGAGAAGAAAACAAAGTTATACACAGATGTCTGAAGCAGCTGTTGAGAAGAGAGAGACCCCTTTGAATGGACACACTGACTCAACTGGACAGAACCGAAAGAGGCTGGTGACCCCCTCGTCTTCTCATTCCATGTATAACCACACACTCTCATCAATAACGACACGTTGGGTATAATATGACTTGTATGGTTCCATGTACCATTTTAACCATTTTAAAGTGTACAATTCAATGATACTTAGAATATTTACAGTGCTGGGCAATGCTCGCCCACCACTACCTAGTCCTAGCACACCCTTCCCATGCCCTCACTGATACCTTTTCAGTGAGTTATTTCCCCCTCTGCGGGACCACCTACCGGGCTGTGAACTTGTTTTCGGTTTCTGAGCCTTTTCCTTCTTAAACTTTGGCACGATACGGAAGACTGTGCTTCTGCTATTTCTTTTGGTGCAGTCCATAGGAGGCTCCTGTTCAAATCAAGGGAAAAAAAATCACTATTTTAGGAGTTTATGGGGAGAAAACCCCATTCTGTTAATGGAGATAAAGAACGGTGTTCTAATTAGGGTTTTCTATTGCTGTGAAAAAACAAAAAACAAACAAAAACAACCCCACCATGACTGAAAGTAACCTAGGGAGGAAAGGGTTAATTTGGCTTACACTTCCATATCACAATCCATCTCTGAGGGAAGTCAGGACAGGAACTCAAGCAGAGCAGGAACCTGGAGGCAGGAGCTGATGTAGAGGCCAGGAAGGAGGGCTGTTTACTGCCTTGCTCCCCATGGCTTGCTCAGCCTGCTTTCTTATAGAACCCAGGACCACCAGCCCATCAATCACTAATTAGGAAAATGCCCTATAGGCTTCCCCACAACCCAACCTGGTAGGGGGCATTTTCTCCATTGAGGTTCCCTTTTCCCAAACAACTCTAGCTCGTGTCTAGTCGACATAAAACTAGCCAGCACCACTGGGTTCTGAATACTCAACCTGTACCACTCTACTAAATGCCCATGTTCACAAAAAGGCCCTTTCTCTCTTAACAACAAAACATTTCAAAGTAGTATTCAAAATTCACTTCCCTGAAGTGTCTCTTCTTAGGTCCAAACTCTAAAGTCGCACTGTCTACATTCATCAATAGGCTGAGTTTTCCATACCTCATCCTCATTGGAGCGGAGGATATAATAAAGCCATGGGATCTCCGTTAACTTCTGTAGCTCCACCTCCACAGAGTGTAAAGCACTGGATACCCGCTCTTCGTGGGGAGACTCCAACTGCTAGTCACCGGCAGGGGGAGAAATGGAAACAGAGAGAGACTCAGCGACCAACTTCATGGAACAAGGTTACTCTGAGCAGCCTTCCCTCTGATCATAAGCTGGCAGCTTTCCTTGTAAGTCCTGATCCCGAAGCTGACACACATAACTGGTGCAACTGAGGAATTCCACCCCCACCCCACCCCACCCAGAAGTACTGCTTTTGGTGTTTCTTGGATGTGATATCCTTCCCTTCCATTGTGACTTCCCCCTTCACTGCTCCCAAGCACATTCTCTGTGAACTGTCATATTTGGGTCAAAAATTCTTCTGACTTATATAGACTTTGTTCCATGAACAAATAACAGTTTTAAAAACTCATCAAAGACCTGTCATATAAAAAGCACATCAGACACACAAAAAAATCTAGAAAATCAAAAAAGTAAGTTTAAGGGAAAAAAGAATCTCAAAAAAAATTGTGATGAACAACTATTACAAAAATCAGGATAAAGCCAAAAGCCAAGGGGGCTGGTAATCTGGACTGGATGTAGATATTTTCAAGAGAATATAATTGTCATTTGTTATTTCATAATAACTTACTTAAGGCAGTTATTACAATTCATAGAATTGGAATGCAGTAGGTGAGATTCTGGTCATGGCTTGGTTACCGTCTATGCGAAATGAGGAAGGGTACTGACACTGGACACCTTAGTTTCCTCTGTGTTAGAAATGACATGATGTGACTAGAACATTTCTGAGCAATCTCTCCGCTAACCAATACCTTTAGAGACCATTTAAAAACTCCACAGTATCTACACTGATGTTCTCAGAATATTAGAAAGAAGAGTTCTAAGATTATCAGTATGGCTTATTATAAGCATCTTTTTGTTGTTGATTCTCTGTGATACTGCAAGTATCTCCCAGTAGTTAATAAAATAAGATTTTTTCCACCCTACTGTATTAGATGGTATTTCATATTTGTTCTGTAAAATGAAAAATAAACTTTAGCTGTTCTCAAATACTATAAATTCTTTATTGTCATACCACTCATTGTTAAGAGTTTGGGCAAAATTTACTGGGACATATTTCAAATCAAACATCAACATTTGAGAATCAAAGAGAATTAGAAATGGAGGGGGATGTTCTTATATTTTAATATGATCACTAAATATAATAAAGTAGAGCAAAGGAGATATTTTGGTGTAAAGGACAAAGTTATGCTTCTATTTCTTATCATAAATGACCTTAAAAGTCTTTCAAGTGACACACAAAAGCTCTTCTCCATTTAAAAATTGGGACCTTAATCATAGCCCACGGGATTTCTGAAAGGCTTATTTTGGAAAAAGCAATAGAAGATTCTGGTTAACAAAAGTGTGTCAATGATAGCCAAGAAGGAGCCTCCACTGATCTTACCGACACGTAACCAATGCTTCTTCCTACTGATTCTACATAGCAGGCGTGGTGACAGCCTTCCTGTGGCCTGGGAAGCTGTGTTTCAGTTCCTTAGGAGGTGGTGAAGAGCACTGTCCCTAAGGAAGCCTCTGGGTTTCTTAAGCAGAAAGGAGGCTCCAGTGGCAGCATCTTGCTGGACCACAGCCACAACTCAGCAGGAAGTCTAACTCCCCAACCCACCACTTCAAGTACTATGACGTGAATGACTTTTATAATTTTATTTAGGCTTATATTTGCCCAAACAGATGAAACTACTATGGAAAGAAATTCTTTGGGATCATTCAAAGGATGCAAGGAAGGGAAAGATAGCTAATGTGCTAGGCCTTCCACATGCCTAATGCCACACAGTCCAGCCAGAGGTGGTGACAAGAGTCAATGCTAGAATATTCAAAAGCCACTCACGTGTTTTTACAGAAAGGGTTGGTCTGTAGTTATGCTCCGGGCCTGTGGGCTTTAGTCAGATTCACACTTTCTTATACTTGATTTCCAGGGCCAAATGAGTTAAAACAGAAACAGTGCTTGAAACACAGTGTTTATAGAGCAAATTTGGAAGACCATGCCAATCATATTTCCAATATTCACCGGGAGAATGAAACTGCAATTTTGCCTAAATGTGTGCATGTGTGAATAGTTAAAGAGTATCTACTATACCTAATCCAGCTCAAATCTCTCAAAGCTGACCAGGGAGAGAGGAGTGGCATGAGAACATGGTGGCCTGAATTAGTATAGCATTGCTTTGAGAAGGCAAAAGTTTGGCCAAAAGGGAGGTCAAGAATGGAGGTCAGAGGTCTGCTCAACACACACTCACTAGTGAAGCAAGGCTCAGGTTTTTATGTCACAGTTAGCTTCAGGTGTCAACTGACACAAACCTAGAGACACATGGGAAAAAGGAACCTCAAGTGAGGAATTTCCTTCATCACTGGTATGTCTGTGGGGGCATTTTCTTAATTGCTAATTAACGAAGGAGGGCCCAGCCCACAGTAGGCAGTACCATCCCCAGACAGCTGGTCTGGGCTGTAAGACAGAGGCAGTTGAACTTGAGCATGGAAACAAGTCATGTTCCTCTGTGGTCTCCGTTTCATTTCCTGCCTCCAGGATCTTGCCCTGATGTCCTTCAGTGATGGGTTATGACCTGGGAGTTGTAAGATGAAACAATCCCTTTCCTCTCTAATTTGCTTTGGGTCACAGTGTATCACAGGCAAAGAGGGGAACCGGAACAGGTAGAAGCCGTTTCTTCTCCTTACCAAAGGAACCCTGCCAACCAGCAAAGACTCTGTTTCATTATAGAGCGCCTTGACGTTGATGGCTATTTCGGTGGCGGTATCTCTCGTAAGACTCTGGAAAAAACAGTGACAAGGACATGTATTTCCATATTAAATTAGGATTCCATCTCAGTTAAGGAAAGTGTAGACAAATGTAAAGGGCACTATTAAATCATAACTTGGTGAAATGAACCGCAGAACGGATTTTACTAGTGTAACCATTTCAGCTGCTTTTTGTTGCCCTTGTGGTGAGCTCACATACTGATGGTATCTGCTTAAAATTCCACATGATATAGCTTATCTCTGCCTGACCAGTTTTCCAGGAAATTATGTGTTGCAGTAAAAGTGTTCTCCCATGATTCTTGAGTATCTTTCACCATATGCAATATATAAAATATACATTAAGGGGCTAGAGAGGTAGCTCAGTAGTTAAGGGCACTGGTTGCTCTTCCAGAGGACCCAGGTTCAATTCCCAGCACCCACATGGCAGGCAGCTCACAATCATCTGTAATTCCAGCCCCAGGGGATCTGATGCCCTCATCTGGCCTCCAAGGGTACTGCATACAAATGGTGCACAGACATACATATTCAGGCAAACTCGTACATTAAAATAAAATAAATACACATAATATATAATGCAAACACATAAAATACAAATAAGTGAAATCATTTAAAAATGTGTTAAGTGACTTTTAACATTACTGGTCACCAGCAGACAATTATAGTAGTCAGGCTATGGGAGAATCAAAGGTTATACAGATTTTTCTACTGTGTAGAGCAGGCGGAGTCCCTTACCCCTGCATGTCGATTCAAGGGCTCACTGCAGTTCTATTTTCACTTGGTAGTTCCAAATGCATTGATTTTTGAACTTTAATCATCAGTAATGATATGTAGTTGAACATGAGTTTGGGTAGTTTCAAATGAATAATTCAAAGAATAAAATGATGGTATCAGCGTTCTCTAGACTACCCGATTGTATAGCAGTTCACATTCCAGGAGTTACATTGTGTCCACTCCATTATCAACACCTACGCTAAAAACTACTGAAGCATCGACTTACAATTCGGCAAAAAAGCGAAGCTCTGTGTCAGAGCGCAACCGAGAAATGACTGAGCCTCTCCAGCCAAGCGCACGTGGTCAGTTCGAGGTTTGCCTTTGTTTAAGATGCAGGGGAAGAGGGTAAAGGAAGAGGAAGAAGGAAAGATGACAGCAGATGGAAGACGTCAGCCCGTGAGATGACTCAGCAGGTAAAGGTGCTGGCCACCCAGCCTGCCGACTCAGTTCAGCCCCCAGAACCCACATGGTGGGAAGAGAGAACAAGCTCTTGCAAGTTGTCTTCTTATCCCCATGTGTTCTGCGGCTGCCCTCCATCCCCCAGATGAATGAATGGATGGATGGATGGATGAATGAATGAAAGAAAGAAATGTAATAAAACAGTAGAAAGACTTGAAAGGAGATGTCAAGGTGGCAAGTGATTAAAAGTGAAATAGAAGGAAACTTAAGAGCAGAAATTACAAAAAAAAAATATGCAGGAACAGGCCAACAAAATTTGTGGCCACAAATTTACTCTATGCTTCTTGTAAAACTCATGAAGAACCTTGTGCTGGTTAGTTTGGCAACTTAACACAAGCTAGAGTCTTCTGAGAAGAGCAAACCTCCACTGAGAAAATGCTTCCATCAGACCGGCCTGTAGGCTAGTCTGCTGGAGCATTTTCTTGATGGATGATTGGTGTAGGGGGCCCAGCCCACAGGGCTCAGTGCCACCTGGGGGAAGGTGGTCCTCCAAGGTATAAGGCAGCTAAAGGTGAACCTGAGAAGTAAGCCAGTAAGCAACATCCTCCAGGGTTTCTGCTTTGGTTCCTGCCTCCAGGTTCCTGCCTGAGTTACTAAGCTAACTTCCTGATGGACTGTCATGGAGACCTGTACGTCAAATAAACTCTTTCTTTCTCAAAGTGCTTTTGGTTAGCATTTTTTTTAAAAGATTTATTTATTAATTATGTATACAATGAGTGTTCAGTCTGCAGGCCAGAAGAGGGAACCAGATCTCATTGTAGATGGTTGTGAGCCACCATGTGGTTGCTGGGAATTGAACTCAGGACCTCTAGAAGAAGAGCCAGTGCTCTTAACCTCTGAGCCATCTCTCCAGCCCCTTGGTTAGCATTTTAATCACAGCAACAGAAGGACACTGTCATCTTTCACAGGGAGGATCTCTACAGTATTTTACAGTAGTTGAAATACCAATGGAATCTGTGGAAAGAGAATTTACCATCAAATCCTCACCTCTGGGAAGCGTGGGTTGGCTTTGTTGAGGGCATGCGAGCATGCATTGACTGCATGAGCCAGTTCCTGCTCCAGCAGACAGTGAATTGTGGCTGCATCACAAATCCTAAGAGTAAAAATGAGACAAACAATTTAGGGCATTGCTGAAGGCCAGCCTTTTGAAGCGTTTCCCTTGCCTGGTGACAGCAGTGCTGAGAAGTGAGAAAGGCCACAAACACAGTGTGGCTTTCAGGTCTCTAGGACATCCACTTGCCTGCTGGTTTACTGCGGGGCTGGGTTGAGCCGAGGGCCCTGCACATACTAAACTGGTGCTCTATCAATTACACCCCAGTGCGGAAATTGCCAATGCAATACACCAAGGGACAACTTTACCGTATTTATCATCTATATGCTAACTGTTTTATATGTATTATAGAATTTACCGTTCACAGCCTATGATGATAAATCTTCTCAAGTCTGCAGATGAAGACACGGAGACTCGCAGAGACTGAGTATGTGTACAGAGCCACTAAGTGGCAGGCTGAGAATTTATCACTCCCACTCGGAAGCTATGTTAGGTGAGGAGGGGTCAAGGATCTTGTCACAGCCTCTCTTCCACTCTGAATAGTGCTGCTGTAGTGATTTTCATATCTTTTGTTTGTTTGTTTTGTTTTTTCAAGACAAGGTTTCTTTCTGTGTAGCCCTGGCTGTCCTGGAACTCACTCTGTAGACCAGGCTGGCCTCAAACTCACAGAGATCCACCTGCCTCTGCCTCCTGAGTGCCGGGATTAAGGGTGTGTGCCACTACCACCTGGTCAATTTTTATCTTTCACATTCATCAAACTCATTTTTTTTAAAGATCTCTTCCCTTTCTGTCTAGAAAGATAACTTACGTGTGGTCTCTAAATCTTTAGTGTGTGTTGCTAGACGTTATGCTACAACTGTTTATTCTGTCTCGTGACCTCTTGTGGGAACATGGTTCATGTTCCGACTTCTTCCAACAGCCATCCACAGTGAGTAGAGCAACACGTGAGTAGGTAGTACAGAAATACTAATAAAAACTGCACTGTGTGGCAGGGCAAATTCACCATCATTTCCCAAGCTATGTAAGATATAGATTGCAAAGAGCATGTGTGGAAGACCTGATAAAGAGGACAAAACATAGCTGAGGCCCACAGGAGGCAGCTAATGAAATAAGCTAACACACCCCTTAGTAATACCCCAAGCAGCAAAAAAAACGACCTTCAAGAAGAAAACACAACGGGCTAAGATCAGAGTTCTCCCAGGCAAAGCTCCAGCAGAAGCACTTTACCTCGTAATGAGTTCCTCTGCAGCCTGGGAGCAGAGCCGCATCTGCGACAACTCTTCTGTGGCCAGGTCAACGGCGGGATGGATGTACACGTTGGTTCGAAGAACTGGCTTACTGGAGTCACACTTCTGCTTGTCTTCCCAAGACTTCAGAGTGCTTTCAAAGGCCTATTCAAACCCAGGATTGCAAGGAATGATTGAGTTAGAGCTCAGAGACTGACACAGCTAACTAATTAACCATCTCTCCCTCCCTTTCTCTCTCTCTCTCTCTCTCTCTCTCTCTCTCTCTCTCTCTCTCTCTCTCTCTCTCTCGTGTATTTGAGATGGTCTCGCTGTATTGCTCTGGCCTGGAACTGAGTATGTAGGCTGGGCTGGCTTGAACTAACAGAGGTCGACCTGTCTCTGCCTGCCACATGTTGGAATTAAAGGTGAGTGCCACCATGTCTGGCAGTTAACAATCAATTATCAGATTACCAATTGTAAAAACTGTGCCACTAGTACAAAATATCAACAATAGGAATTTATGTATTCTGGGGGTAGAAGGAAAGAAATATATAGGAATAGAATTAGAGTTCTATGTACTTTCTGTTTAATTGCTAGGTGAACCTACAAATTGTAAAAGATAAAAGTATTTAATTTAAAATAAAACTGAGTAAACCTTTGCTCATACTTAAAAGTACAATGAGCTAAATGTTGCAAATGTGCTAAATGGCATATTTAAGAGATAATTTAAATTCCTTTCAATGTTTTCTATTTTTTTGTAACTTTCAACTTTTAAAAAGAATTTAATAAAATATTTGGAGGACAGAAAGATGGCTCAATGGTTAAGGGCACATACAACTCTTGCAGAGGACCCAGAACTCACATTAGATGCATCATAATCCCTTCTAACTCTAGCTCCACGGAGATGCACTACCCCCGCCCGACCTGTGTCGGTGCTGAACTCATATGCACAACACTTCCCCCAAGGTACACACAATTAAAGATTAAAGTGAAAAGACTGTCACGTACTCTGTCTCTGGTTAGCATCTGAGCTCTGTTTTTGTGCACAATTTTGATGATCCCTGGAGGCTGAACCCATGCTTCACCATCCACCTGCACCGGGACTCCCTCATCACCAAATATAGTGATCTTGACTGTACGGCACTGAAATAAAGCCAATATGTCATTTGAGAATCCAGATCAGCCTGAGAGTCTCTGTGGAACAGAACGTTACCCTTTACCGTTGCAGTGAAACAGTGACATTAACAGGACAGAGAGGCGGTGCTCTACAGTTTATGTGTGCAGTGAGAGACAGTGCTTTACAGTCTATGTGTGCAGTGAGAGGCGGTGCTTTACAGTTTATGTGTGCAGTGAGAGGCAGTGCTTTACAGTCTATCTGTGCAGTGAGAGGCAGTGCTTTACAGTCTATCTGTGCAGTGAGAGGCAGTGCTTTACAGTCTATCTGTGCAGTGAGAGGCAGTGCTTTACAGTCTATCTGTGCAGTGAGAGGCAGTGCTTTACAGTCTATCTGTGCAGTGAGAGGCAGTGCTTTACAGTCTATCTGTGCAGTGAGAGGCAGTGCTTTACAGTCTATCTGTGCAGTGAGAGGCAGTGCTTTACAGTCTATCTGTGCAGTGAGAGGCAGTGCTTTACAGTTTATGTGTGCAGTGAGAAGCAGTGCTTTATAGTCTATATGTGCAATGAGAGGCGGTGCTTTGCAGTTTATGTGTGCAGTGAGAGGCAGTGCTTTACAGTTTATGTGTGCAGTGAGAGGCAGTGCTTTACAGTCTATATGTGCAGTGAGAGGCAGTGCTTTACAGTTTATGTGTGCAGTGAGAAGCAGTGCTTTACAGTTTATGTGTGCAGTCAGAGGCAGTGCTTTACAGTTTATGTGTGCAGTGAGAGGCAGTGCTTTATAGTTTATGTGTGCAGTGAGAGGCGGTGCTTTGCAGTTTATGTGTGCAGTAGTCATCTGGGACCACTTCCTCCTACGCTCCATGACCCAGGACACAAAGCGCACCTTGCTCTGGAAACCCACCTGTGCTATGCGGTGATGCTGAAGTTTGATGACCCTTGAGACCGCCATCTGCACACTGTCGAACACAGCAACAACTTCCAGAATCTTGTCATCAAATGATGGTGCGGCAAATATCTAGAAGGGAAAAGGGATCCCGCTCGTTTCCACCAACAGGTTAGGTAGAGCGCAACACCAAGCCCCCAAACCCTGCCTTACAGGTACCAAAAACCTGGAAACAGACAGTGAAGAGGTAAATATCAGAAAGTAAGAGCCCAAGGAAGTAATCACCGAAGAAGACAGCTTAAAATAAACATACTTCCAAAAAGGGTTTCAACATCCAGAGGATAGTCAAACATCTCATCTGGCACTTTCTGGACCAACACATTCCTAAATATTTCACCTTGACATGAATGTGGTAAATACTTCACATATAATTGGTAGACATCTTGATAAGATGACATACAATTTTTCAAAATTCACAGGGATCCAAAAGTTGATGCTGAGAAACATGCAAACTGTGATCTTGTGTACTTAGCATGTTTTAAAGACATTCTTTCCAAGTGTTCTAAGCAATATACATTTGCGCTGTTATCGTTTTTGAAGATTTATGTTTATTTTTTAATTATATGCATGTGGGTGTACCTGCATGTCAATATGTGCATGTGAATGCAGACCAAAAAAGTGTGTTAGTTTCTGTCAACTTGACGCAGGGTCACCTGGGAAGAGAGAACCTCAATTGAAGAATCACCTCCATCAGACTACCCCCAATAGGTAGTTCTGCGTTGTATAAGAAAGCAGGCTGAGCAAGCCACGGGGTTAGCAGCGTACTCTATGAAGTTTCTGCTTCGGGTCCTGCGTTGAGTTCCTGTCCTGATTTCCCTCCGTGGTCAACTGTGATCAGGACATGAGGGCCAAACAAACCCTCTCCTCCCCAAGCTGCTGTTGGTCATGCCGTTTATCATAGCAACAGAACAAACTAGAACATGTACCCAGAAGCTGCAGTTCAAGAGATTGTGAGCTAGTGCGGGGTGCTGGCAACTGAGCCTGGGTCCTCTGCAGGAGCAGTAAGTGCTCTTAACTGCTGAGCCATCTCTCCAGCCCCGTGCCTTGTGTCTTAACACAACAACTTCTTCTTAGGGCTTTTGTGAGCATGGAAACAAAAAACCTCAAGGACAAAAACTCCTCAGGAGTACTCTGCTTTTATGTGAAATGCATATGCTCACAAAACTGATTCCCAGAACTGAAGTTCAGTCAATGTCACTCTGTTCTTGTTACTTTCTCACTTACTATATCATAAACAATTATGACGGAAAAATACTCACCCTAAAAGAATATCCTAATTAACACTTGTATTGGAAATACGAGCCCACACACTTGCTGACACTGATAATTTGTTATCAAACCACCTGGAGCCAAGGTGCTCCTCTGTTAGCAACTGTGGAAACGTTGTCTCCAGTTTTTCAAGGCTAAAATTAAGAAGTTACAGTTTGGGACTGAGGATATAGGTCAGAGTTACAGAGGTCAACTAGCATGCGCGGGGACCTCAGTTCTGATTGCTGACACACACAAGAGCGGGGGTGGGGGGAATCATGTGGGTGTTAAATAATGAACATAAAGCTCTTCTGAGGGCCTGGTGGGTGTTCCGGAGTGTCAACTTGATCTTACTCTCACTGATTTCACACTTCCAGAATATTTGAGTGCTGGCAGAAAGAATGGGCGACTCTGGCGTTATACTTCAAAAGAGCCAGAGTCTATCCACAACGTGAACATTATACCTTGTATGTTCATTTAAGCCTCAAACTGAAATCAGGGTAAGACTCTTCAGGATCACGACAATACATCACTCTCCCTGGTACGCCCACGTCAACAATTGTTCTCTTTTGCATTCTTTTTAGAGCAACTGTAAACACCACACAAATGTGACTGTGTTTTGTTCTTTCATAATACAAGGAAATACACAAAGAAAAAAGAAACAGTTCCAAACTTTGTCAGGTGTGGTGTTGCATAACTTGAACGCCAGAACTCTGAAGGAACTTTAGAGTATATCCGTGAGAGAGAATGTTGAAATAAGATGCTACGAATCTACCTCTCAGCTTCCAAACATTTGTCATGCAAATATTGACAAGAAATTAATATCATGCAGCACATTTTAAAAAGTTAGACAATCTAGTAATTTTATTACCATCGAGGAAACAAACTTTAACCCCATTACGCTACTTACATCATCCTCTTTGGTTCCGCCCCAGAAGTTGGTGCCTCCGGCGTAGCTGGGGATGTTCAATACCGCTATGCCTTGTAAACTGGGTAGAGGAATATACTGCCCGTCACACTGCAAGGTAAAGAGCTGGGAGGTTAGAACGCCTATAATCCCAGCACTTCAGAGTGGACATAAGAAGAGCAGAAGGGTTCATGGACATCCTCATCTACACAGCAAGTTCAAGGGCAGCCTGGGCTACATGTGCACGGGACATAAACCCCAGAGTTATGTGCACAATCTCTATTCCATAGCGTTCATGAGAAAACATAGGCAGTACAGATTTGATAAATTAAGACTACACTCTGAAAAAATGTCTTATATTCTGGAAAAGCTTCAGGAAATCTGTGAAAACTAGGAGGGTAGGAGAGTCTTTGGAGAGTGGGGAGCCCACGTCAGGGTAAGCACGCTTAGGATTTAGTAGGTATTCAGAGATGGAGTAAAGAGCAAGTTACAGATTTGAGTCAGAACTCAGACAAGTTAGCAGGCATAAATATTTGTTTCTCATTACCTATGTCATGATAGTCTATGTATGAATTTGCATTTTTCAGTTATTTATTTTTGTTTATATTCTCTTTGTACTTAAAGTATACAAAAGAGTATATGATAGTCATTTTAGTCAGAAAGCAGGGCTGCTTGACACATGCAATAGACAAGTCACCCTTGATTATAGAATTTAAATTTTAATGAAATCTCTCATTTATACTGCCAACATTTTTCTACTATAAAGAAGCAAACATGGTGTGATCCTATCCTGGAGTTCCCATCATTGGGACAGGATCATAAACATCCCATGACGCTCTGAAAGCTGGGGCTAGATGAGCACCCCAATGCCGCATGGCAAAGCAGTTTATACGTGCACCTTACTTCTCAGTTTGCACTGTGGCTTCTGTCTCACTCAGTAAATTTGCACCAAGCACCCTTCCACCCCTTTGCAGACAAAGATGCCATAATCTAAGTCTTCATTGGCACAGACTCAACCACCACACATGAAATCCATCTCCTCCCATACCAAAGAAGAAAACTTACCTGTGTAAAGTGATGAACACAAACAGGACTAGCACACAATGCAGGAGTCTCCTGGGGAGACTCTCTGCCCTACCATTATCTCACTCACACCATCACCAAGGAGAAAACCCACTAAACAGGCCCGCCACACTCACACTCTTAGAAAGTGTTTTACTTTTCCTTACTTTTAAAAAAAAATGGCAAAGACTTCTGAGGCTTTCTACTTCACTTTTTATATATATTAGATGTTTTCATTTATCCTGTTTTACTAATTTTAGTTTTCTTTTTTATCATTTAGCATATACTTTTTTTTTTTTTTTTAGACAAGGATATGTAGCCCAGGCTGATCCAAGCTCGTGATTCTCCTACCTCCACATTTCAAGTGTTTTGATTATAGGTATGAACCACCAGGCTGACCTAACATATACTTGTAAATATAGGTTCTTAACTTGAGGTTTGAAAATCAGGGTCTATGGATAGATTCAAGGAATGGAAACCTGTTCATTAAAAAAAAATCATCTTTTTATGTTCACTAACTAACCTATGGACTTAGCCTCACCCTCTGTTCCAAGTGTAGGCAAGAAGCCGGACATGACCTGTGATGCATCTACAGACATGCAGACTTTGATATCAAGGTAGAGATGTAGATAGCATTGGTCTTCATTTGTATTATACCTGTGATTGTATCAACAGACATGCAGACTTTGATATCAAGGTAGAGATGTAGATAGCATTGGTCTTTATTTGTATTATACTTGTTTAAGTGTGTGGGGGAGCATGTCTGCATCACGTCACATGTGCGTTGGTCAGAAAGCGACTTACAGGAAGGAGTTGGTTCTCCCCTTTTATCATGTGGGCCCCAGGGACTGAACTCTGGTCATCAGGTATGGCAGCAGGTACCTTTACCCACAGGGCCACCTCACAGGCCTCTCATTTGTTTATCATTTGAAATACTATATTTATTAGACACCCCATTAGATTCTTCTTTGATTTAGTAATAATAAAATATATATATATGTTAGTTTAACAAAATATTTAACTGATTTTCATACAACTTTCTGTTATGTCTACATATCTTATTTAATATATTAAAAACTTTATACAAGTGATCCATAGTTTCAACAGAAAGGGTCCACACCATTAGCACCTTTTAAAATGGAAAGGAAAAAGCTCTAGGTAAGATGTCCTCTTCAAAATTTGGACCAGCAACAAAGACCACTTCCAGTGACAAAGACCATTCGGCCTTTGCTGAGGCCAACAAGTAGCCATTGTGTCTTTCACTTTTCGTACAGCGCTCTATAAACTTACATGAGACAGTTGACACTTGGTTACAAAGCAGCCTTTGGATCAGGACATCAACTACAGGCCAAGGAAGCACCTGAGCATGTGTGAGGTTGGCAAGCCCTTGGTAAGTTGTTTAGAAGGTTAGCTGAATCAAATGGTTTTGTAGTTGTTTTGTTTGTTTTTTAAAGAAAGGGTCACTCTATGTAGCCATAGCTGGCTTGAAACTCCAGACCTGAATGTGGGCAAATGCCCTGTTTCCAGATCAGAAGAGCTGGGGTTACAGGCATGTGACAGCACAGTTGGCTCTGAATGTACTCTTGAGACCTCACCTTCCTCCACTAATGCATGATCAGACTCATCTGTAGGGAGCAGAGGAAGCCCTGGGTGAGTGAAACACACAGTGAATATATATTGTTGACACAGGTACAGACATGTCAAGGACCCAGCAGCCTCAGGCTCAGAGGCATGGTAAAGGCTCAGAAGGCATGGCCCTCCTCAGGGGACCAAGTGCTAATATAGACAGTATGTGCAGAAAATGTCCACCATAGCTTTCTGCCCCCTGGATGCTTACGGCCTAAAGACTGTATGCTTCTAAGAGCATGCTCCGACCAAGGTGAGCTGAACCTGTCTCTTTGATCCAGCTGTTTACCATCAATCCCACCTCCTTGTTTATCAACATGGAATAACCAGGCCTCCCTGTTCAACTCTATATACTGCTGACCTCCTGGAGTGCTGAATTTTTCCTGCTGACAGTCTAGACCACCTGACTCCAGCTTTCTGTCCATGTGTCTGTCCTTCATTTCTTCATTCCCTCATGCCCTAATCAAGTCGGTCCCTAGAGCCATGCTGGAAATGTCACTCATCACAAATTGAGGAGCATCTTTCATACTAAATTATCAATTCACTATCCACTTCTGCAACAAGACTGTGTCAGCTACTGTGTTACACACTAAGGCTAACAACAATGGTTATAGCTCTCTACCTGTTCTTAGCGAGTGTGGCCAACTGGGGACACGGATCAAAAATGAAGGAACACAGACAATGCAGTACATACAAGGGCACCTAAGTGGACTTGGGGTGGGACTGCAGACGAGAGCCTTTGCGAAAGGTGAACCTTCCTGATTTTGTGGCCACTCACCTAGTAGTCTGTATTATACTTTTATAAGCAGCCAGGAATCAAAGCAGCTGATCACCTAGTGATATTTTTAGAGTGAAAAGGACCTATGTGCTTATCTTTATGACATTTAGTTGGTAGTGACTGACTCACCTGTTTGGCTTACACCCCAGTGTATAGACAAGGCCAAGACAACAATACTCAGTTTAGTTTATTTACTTAAGTATTTAAACCTTAAGAGTTATAAATTTCTCTGTATTAGTGTATTAGCATTTTAAATAAAAATGTTCTGATCACAAAATGAAATGAGGTAGAAAATATATGCCCTGGACCAAGGATAAAAGAAACTAAGTTTACAGTAACTGATAGACTCCAAGGATTCCCAACCATCTTTTTCCTGCTCCTGCAAGAACTTAAATAACTTTCGTTGTCTGTAAGTTTCTACCTCAACTAGAAAAGATTGTCAAAATCCTATTTTTAACTGACTTGTTAGAAATAATTGGCTCAAAATAAATTATATTTTAAATTAAAATACATGTACTGCAAGTACTACTTCCAAGGACTTTATAAAACTTTGGGCATTGTAGAATTGGAACATTTAAGTGAAGAAGTCCACTATTAAAGACACTGTCCTATAAAAGTCCTTACAAGGCTTCATGTTGGTAGCCCCTGCTTCAGGAACGAATAGGATGATTTAAGGTTAAGCCTATTGTTTACACACAGGATTGACACTACCTTTAGAATACATTTAATCACTAAGAAGAAATTAGGTTAACTTAGCTCTACAAATTATCTACGTAGGATACACTAAATTGTCTTTGCTTCAAGATTAACTCACCTCAAGCTGAACCCTTTGTTCCAGATTCTTGTATGATCTCTGTAATAACTCCCGGGTCCCAAGGACTCCATACCACATCAAGTTTTTAGTTCGGCTTCTAAAAAACAAATATTGTTGTGCAATCTCAGGAAATGTTATTTATTTACTCCTTAAAGCAAAAGAGACAATAAATGAAATTAAAGTAAAATTACCTTCACGTAACAACATTAGACCCATTATTAAAATTACCTGCATTTTTCAGGGTGTTCTTCTCTCTTATTATTAAATTCTAATGAAATTTTTGCATCTAATCCAATCCCAAAGTAATTGTTCATGACACATTTTTCTGAGTATCCATCTCTAGGATAATAAGGGAAGGCACATAAAAGTCAATTTCAGGTTCATTACAACATGAACAGTTTATTTACACAGTCACACTTAAAACCACTCAAGTGTCCATTCTTTCTAGAGGACTGGAAAGCAGAGGTCATTCCCCACATACATGCCGTGTGCACAGTCACAGGGCACGTGCATAATTTGTGGTCTGAGGCAAAGCAAACAGAGCCAGGTACTGTCTTATTTTCTACTTATGCTGACGGGGGTAAGCCTTCTGTCTCCACCTAAGGCGCTGACCACACAGGCCCACTGATGACGGCCTCTATGGGAGGCCTCTGAAGTCAAGTGCCGTAGTCCTCTTTCTTAATCATGAGAAAGTCTCTGCCACTCAACCCTTAAAAATGGACAAAGAGTAAGAGAAAACTTCTGATTTCAACACATTATTATAAATATTGTTAATACTTGATTTTTTTTATTTTTATAATTACTTTTTTATGGGGTGGGTGGGTGTTTCACACATGCCATGGTGTATGTATGGAGACCAGAAGACAATTTGCAGGAATCAGTGCTCTCCTTCCACCACTGATAAAGTTCATTCTGTGGGATCCACATGATAGAAGGAAAGAATAGATGCCTGCAAGTTGTCCTCTGACCTCCAGATACATGTCATGATATGTGTGTGTACACACACTCTCCCTCTTTCTCTTAAATTTAGCTAGATTTAAAAAAAAAAAAAAAGCAAAAAGCCTGGCGGTGGTGGCGCACACCTTTAATCCCAGAGCTTGGAGGCAGAGGTGGGCAAATCTCTGAGTTTGAGGCCAGCCTGGTCTATAGAGTGAGCTCCAGGATAGCCAGGGCTACACAGTAAAACCCCCTCTCAAAAACAAGAACAAAAACAAAACAAACAAAATAAAAGGAAAATATTTCCAAAAATAAAATTAAATATACTAAATGCTGTCCTTGAGAAATGCCAATACAAAAATAAGATTTAAAAAGAAAAAGCATCTTTGAGCTGGGGAGATAACTCAATGGGTAAAGCGTGTGTGGTGCAAGAGCAGGGAGACAGAGTTCAGACTGCTAGCACCCAGGTAAATGCCCGGTGGTCGAGGCAGCCAGCCTGCAATCTCAGGACACAGGAGGAAGAGACAGGGCCACCGCAAGCTGCCTACCTAGTCTAGGCTAGCCGAACTGACAGGCCAGCTCTGGGTTCACACGAGAGACCCTGCCTCAACATAGGAGAGGGAAAGTGGGGGAGCAAGACTCCCCACTTCAAACTCTGCAAGGCACCCATACACACGTGGATGGACACACATACACAGGCCTTCACAGAGCAAATCTTAAAATGCGAACAAGAGTGAGTCTATCTCACGCTGCCAAACGTGTTTATAGGGAGTCTAGAAAGAGATGAGATCGATGTGGGTTAGAAGCTGGAAACAAGGAAACCATTCAGCGGGATGTGGAAAGATGGCGGGATTAGCAGACTGAGAAGAGAAGATGGCAGGGAAAGATGTAGATACAGGTGCAAACCAGCACTAAGATAGACAGACCTTCAGGGAGAGAGAGAGGCAAGCAGCACTGCACCAGAGAGTGGCCGCCGAACCGCAGGTGAGAAAGGGACCTGTCTCAGGGACAGACCACAGAGCTGGGCATTATCAACTTCGGAGCATGCTCACCACCCTTTCTGCAGATGGAACCCAACACTTTGGGACACATGCAAAACGTCAGGATTTGAACCAAACAGACAAAAAAAAAGGGAAGGGGGTGAAGCGAAGTAAGTACAAGAGTATTTCTTACAGTGAATCAGGATCTGGGTCAATAAACGGAGTTGCACCAAAAGGGTCGATGTTTGCCAGCAACATTTTGTTGATGATAGAACTCCCGGCGATTGAGGCGGCAAGTCCTGCTCTTAAACCTGACAGAAATACATCAGGATCACATGTTAAGAGAAAGGAGAGACAAATCCGTCCCACTCAGAGCCTGGCCTTGTCCCAAACATCTTGCTACCAAAGCCTGTGACCACTCAGTAGCCCAAACTCAAAGGATGATACTTAGAAGTGTGAAGCGCTTTAATATTTTCAAATGTCTGTATGTTGCAATAAAGAATTACGGAGAGAATAACATGAAAAGCAGCATCTGTGATATTTTCTCACTTTCCATTCAGCGATTCTACAGTTTGTAGTTTTCAGTGTTTCAATTCCTGAGTTAAATTCATTCCTAAGTGTTTTGCCATTTTTGATGCGATTTCAAGTAGAACTTTATTCTTAATTTCATGGTCAGGTGGTTCAGTTGTGGTGTATAGAAATATAATGACAAAAATGTGATTTCTGTGTATTGATCATTTACTCTGTAATCTTAGTATACTCACTTATTAGCTTTAGTGGTTTAGCTTACTTGTGTGCATGTATGAGCATGAGTGCACATGTGTGCGTCCCTTGGGGTTTTCTACTTTCAAGAGAAGTATGGAAAGGCACACAGTTGTCCTTTCCTTTTCCTTTTCTTTTACCCCCTCTCCCCCCACCCTTTTCCCTTTCCTTTCTTTTCTTTTTCTGGTTTTTTTTTTGTTTTTTGTTTTTTGTTTTTGTTTTTTTGAGACAGGGTTTCTCTGTGTAGCTTTGCGCCTTTCCTGGATCTCGCTCTGTAGACCAGGCTGGCCTCGAACTCACAAAGATCCACCTGCCTCTGCCTCCCGAGTGCTGGGACTAAAGGCGTGCGACACCACCGCCCGGCTTTTTTCTGGCTTTTTGAGACAGGGTCTCTCTATGTAGCCCAGCCTGTCCTAGAGCTTTCTCTGTAGATCACTGTCCTGGAACTTACACAGATCTGCCTGCCTCTGTCTCCCAAGGCATGCACTACTGCCTGGCTTTTCTTTCTAGTATTTTATTTTATGTCGATTTCTTCTTGAATGGGATTTCTAGTTCAAGTGTTTTTACACATTTGCCTGTTTCCTCTGGGTACATAGTACCATCATAATCATATCTGTTTCTCCAAGCTCCATAATGATGCCTCATGATTTCTTCATTCCTGATTTTAGTGATCTGAATCCTCACTCAACGTCTTTTCATTTTCTCTACCAGTTTTCTTCTTAATTCTCTTATTTATGTCCACTCTCATGTTTATTATTCTCTTTCCTCTGTTAGCTGTTATTAGTCTGCTCCTGTCCTGGTTTATCTTGGTGGGTGTCAAGGGATTGACCAGTGATGGATGAACATTTTCAAAGCAGCATTTACAGTTATACACTCCACTTTAAGCACATTTCAGCTGCATCAGCTAAGTTTTAGGAAAGTGCATTTCTGTTCTCACTCAACCCAACGTATTTTTTTCTACTTTACTAATTATTATTTTCTCTAATGTACTCCCCTACATGTTTCCACAGTTGTGTACTGCCCAAATTTCATTCTCTCATCGGCTCTTCCATTCCACTGTGCTGAAAGTAAACAGTCGTGAGATTTGGATCCTTTTGATTCTACTTGAGAATGGTTTATGACCAAATTGGCTATGGTCTGTTCTAGAGAATGTTCTACATACTCTTGAGAAGAGTGTGTATTCTCCTGTGGGTGGGTGTTCCTTAGATGTTGACTGGATCCTACTGTAACCTCCAGGGACTCTATTTCCCTGATCGTCTGGTTATTCCATCACTATTGAAAGGGAGGAACAAATGTCTCCAACCATTATTTGAATTATAGAGCTCATTTTTAAAAAGAAATTCCATGAGAAGCTACTTTTCAGGGTCTAAATGGACTCCAGCATACTATGAATGAAGACCGAAGGAATTTTAAAGCCACCATAAATTCAGGAAGCTCTAAGACACATGTTTTTCTCCGCCAACTCCTACCTGTAGTCTCTGGTGTCTACTTGTATTACTCTAATCCAAGATAAACTCATTTCATCAAGGCTGGAAGAGATACTAGGCTAAAAATCTCTGCAGAGAAAGTAGTAGCTTAAAAGAACAAGGAAAGCTGTAGAGATGCTTGGAGGTCACAGAAGGTAAGCTCCTGAGCTCCAACCTAGAATACATTTATCACTAAGAATGCCTTTCTATAGCTCATGAATAAGAGAAGTTACATATTTTCAGAGACATATTAAAACATATACCATGTCACACAACTCTACTACCTGGGCAGATAATTCTGGTGTTGAGCACAGGGAGATTTTCTTTGGTGGTGGCCATAGCTGAACCAGTGACAGAATCAGTTGGGAAATTACCATGACTTGCCTGGGCATCAGGAGACTGAGATGTGGATTTGGCTGTTGACAAAAAGTCCAGATTAAAAATGGCAAATGAAACCAGTATAAAATTAAACAAGCTCCTATAAACTCAAGACACACAACAACAACCAAATGCTTATTTAAATCAATGAATGGATCTGAAGATGTTTATTATATTTACCTTCATTTATCATTTTATTTTCATTTTCTTGAGACATTTGGAGAGTATTTACCAAGGGAGATATATTGATCTCTGGCTTTGAATAGATGCTATCAGAACATAGATATCTACCATCATTAATATAAAAAAAGTCAGTAATATGCTTAATTTGAATGTGATCAACTCAAACTTGATAAGTAGAAAACCTAAAGCCTGATGACCATTATGATGCATACTACCAACGTTACTTGTTAATCATGAATGTTGGGTAAATGATCATATTTAAGTGATATGACTCCTAGTGGAACACATGAATGCGTGTGAACAGGAGTTAATATAGCCTTCAATTAGTGGAGACACTTGGCTGGGACTCAGATCAGCACATCATTTAACCCTCATCAGAAAAGCTTCTTCTTGCAGTATATGGCAATTAACACAGAGACCCACAACTACAGAATATATGGAGAGTGAAAGACTGTGGAACATTCAGCCCTAAACGAGATGTCTTTATCAAACTCCTCCTCTGAAGACTCAGGGAACTATGCAGAAGAGGAGGCAGAAAGATTCTAAGAGCCAGTGGTGGTGAACGGCTCCAAAGAAAAAGTGTGTTCCAGACACACGAAGGCTGATTCACACATGAACTCAAAAGGAGACATCATCTACAAGACTACCATGAGTTCAAATCAGGAAAAATACCAGGATGAAGAAGAGGAAGAAGAAACAAAGTCCAACCTCTAACCAAGAAGCTGTTTGCAATGATACCTGGTAGGAAAGAGAAAAACAGTCTTCTCCAATGAAATGTCACTGGGTATATCAACCACACTCCAGGGCAGACCCAGGCATAGGTGGTCAACACAAAATAGAACCTCGTGTGTGTGTGTGTGTGTGTGTGTGTGTGTGTGTGTGTGTGTGTGTGTGTGTGTGTGTGTGCTTTTTGCATTTTGTTCATTTTATTGGTTTGCTTGTTTTGATCTTTGTTTTTATTAGGGGAGAGGAAAGATGTTTTGTTGAGGGGAGAGAGAGAGAGGAAGAGAGGGAGATCATGAAATCAGGTTTGCAAGTAGTTAGGGGGATCTGGGAGGACCTGGAGGGGAAAAGAATACGATCAAAATATGTTGTTTGTAAAAATACTTTTAAGAAAAAAAGAAAAAAAATAAATGGAAAGATATCATTTATCTTCCAATAAAACCAAAGTATTTTCCCTGCCATCATTTATTCAAATGATGATAAGCTCCAAATGGTTTTGTTGTATTCTTGTAAAAGCTCAATACAGTTAAAATATTCAAGATAATAACAAAAAGGAAGATTTAATTCTAATAATATGAGGCAAGTTAGTGACGGAAAAACAGCACCTTAATCTTATCAAAGGCCATCAATAAGTATTAAAAAAAAAAACCAGTAGTCATTAAATTCAATTTAAAAGTACTCTAAAACCTAATTATCTTCACTCTCCCTCAGACTAATTACAAACTTAACTATATTAATCTTGCATGCTATTTTCTCTGATCAAACACTGTCCAGCTGCACAAAACTAATAGATGCCACTCTGTTGTGTGTGACAGATGCCACTTCTGGGGCGAATCTCTGCCACAAAGCAACTTTTGATGTTTACCTCTGCTGAAAAGCAGAAAATGTACTAACGACTAAGATCGATGCTCGACTGCAGGTAATTCAATTAGTCCTTCATGTTTCTTCCTCAATAAAGCATCACCTTGAACACATTAATATACTATATTCCTCACATCTAAGACATCAATTGCATAATTTAATAATGACACAATATAGATGATTCAATAAAACCACTGAACACAGGAACACTTCTATTGCCAATGATTTTCAGTAAGCTGGATTACAGCCCAAATTGGCATCAAATGTGGCAACGTTAAAGACTTTCCTAAATCTATGCTTGCCTCTCTACAGAGCACTCTAACAGAGTCTTTCAGTTTCCTGTCTAACTAATGGGAATGTTGAGTTGATGAGAGTATGGTAAAGCGGAATGCTGGCTGGTTGGAAGCCATGGGCAATGAGTGTACACGTATGGAAGAGAGCAGATGTATGGATAACCCACTGTAGTAAGTAGATTTTAACAGATAACAATATCAAAGGCCTAACTACCAACTTCACAGATAAAGTACATTGGAGGTGACAGAAAAATTAAAAGATTTTAACAGGTGGAAGTGATAGGTCCAAATAAAAAAGATGAAAGGTTATCAAGATGAGGGAAAGCTATCACAATTAAATCCGAAAAGAAATTCAGCAGTTTGGGCAACATCAAAATGTGCTGGATGAGCAGCATGAATATCTATGCTCTTGTCTTACAGTAAACACCTGGAGTTTGTTCAAAACATTTTAAGACAGACACTCAACAAATGGATGCAGCCAGAAAAACAAACAACTCAAAAACCACCAAATTATAGTTATGAGACACCAGATATGGAGGAAGACTTCAGATGCAGCAAGGAAACATGATACTGTAAAAGCCATTCACAGCATCATTTAAGGAGTGCTATAGGGAAGAAGGAGGGAGATACAGCCGCAGAAGATAGAGTCACCTTGGAGCTGGTAAAATACCATGTGAGGAATTAGGCCAATCATAAAAAATACCACACAAATACCAACATCATAATACATAAATATCTTCCATCAGGGGTTGAATTTTAAGGCAGAAAAATGAAGTTCATCATAAAGAACAGTCTAACAAGTCTACTTCTAACAATTACAGCCAAACTTGAGAGAGAAATGTACTAGAACTGAACGGCCTGAGGGAATCAATGGCCATCTGTGAAGAGAATTCAGAACGTGACTGTAGATATATATGTCGAATATCTGAACTTTACAGAAACTAATTTTGATTTCCTTAAAAATTTTAAGTACAACCAAATTTTTCTCAGCCAATAATAATAATAATAATAATAATAATAATAATAATAATAATAATATATAACAATGATGATAGACAGCAAATTTTATAAAACACTGCATACCAGATTCTATTCTGGGAACTTTGGTACCGTAAATTAGTCAGCCTTTACTACAATCCAATTAAAATAGCATATTATTATCTTCATTTTTACAGATAGGAAAACTTCAGAAAGCTTTAAAAAAATCAGTCCAAATTTGAAAAGAATCTTAATAAACTATAAGAAGGAACAGTTCTGATACATTATGCTGACATCTCTCGAGTATATTATAATTATATTCATACTACCTCATATCATTAATATTATACCTTCTGCTTATATTATCCAATGGTAATTAGAAACTTTTCACTTATATGAAATACTAAAAGGACAAATTCATTTCCTATTGAAAGCCAAAAGGCAGGGAAACAGTTAACAATCTTCAAGCAATAATATAATAATTTCTAGGCAAAAATAATTTGGTAAAGAAAGGGCTGTAATTAGAAATCTTGTGACTTTTAAAGCTTAATTTAACAACAAGCATTGGCCAATCAGCAAAATATAAGGGACTGTTGAATCCCTCAAGAGCCGAACTTGGTACGTGTGAGGCCAGCAGTTTCCCAAGGAATCAGAACGCTATGTTAGGCTAAAACGGGGAAATGTGGATGTTTCCTTTAAGATACTTAATCATATTAATCCCATAATGCTTAGTTTATTGTTAGTGTCTAGAGTACACATGAGAGATAAGAATACTTGACAAGCCGACCTAATCTGTTACCATTATTATTTTAATGCTCATCAATAACATAAACTTGCCCAAAGCCCTTGGAAGAATAAAAATTCAACAGTTCGTCTCAAAGAGAAAACTAAATGCCAAGTTAGTTGTGACTGATTGTGATACCATCACAATTTCCTCACCTGCTGATGAATCTTTCGTATCATCATCCTTAGATTCATCTGTTTCTGGGTTATCACAGTCACAAGACTGACTAATGGATTCACAGGGTTGAACTGTCTGTTCATCTATAACTTTAAGTAGTAAGAAGGGAAACAGATTTGCATTAGTGAAAAGAAAATGAATTCATATTAAGATATGCTTAGGAAAGAAAAGCTGAACAGGGTATCAAAAGCAATTCTACATTCACAAAGAAATGCCATTTAGTAACAAAATTGGGAGTGATGTCTGTGGACACTGGAGAGTATAAAAATCAAATACATTTGTTAAGATTAAATATTTACCGGAATAAAATTACATATCAAAAGCAAAATATGAAGCTCGATTACGAGTCATACACCTGGAAGGTGATTCCCATCATTATTCGTATTGAAGTCAACTTTCATCTAGGACTAAAATTCCAAGCAGCATATACATTGTACTCATACAGAAAATGAAATCTAGGTTCCGGATACACGGCTCGGTGCCTAAGAGCACACACTGCTCTTGCAGGGACTCAGGTTTGGTTCTCAGCATCCACACCGGGCAGCTCACACTGCCTCTGAACTCCATCTCCGAGGGTCCAGCGCCTCCTTGGGCACCTGTACTGCCATACACATACCCACACACAGACACACATGCATACACAGAATTAAAAATAAAAAGTAAACCTTTGAAAATACAGATAAAGATTTATATACTCTTAAACATCAACCATGTTAGGAAACCAATATTAAGAAGTTATTTTCGGCCGGGCGGTGGTGGCGCACGCCTTTAATCCCAGCACTCGGGAGGCAGAGCCAGGCGGATCTCTGTGAGTTCGAGGCCAGCTTGGGCTACCAAGTGAGTTCCAGGAAAAGGCGCAAAGCTACACAGAGAAACCCTGTCTCGAAAAACCAAAAAAAAAAAAAGAAGTTATTTTCTCTATTATAGGCAGCTGTGGGGTTTATTTTAAGAATTAAAGACAAGCCCAAGAAGTAAAAAGATTGAAGTTTTTAGCCTTGTTCTATAAGCACTTTTTGTACTTAAGCTGGGATAGAAATACTGCAACTTAATTTACTTCTGAAACCTTATTTTGTGCGTCATTGCTATGCTGACTCTGACTACTGAAAGCACAGATATGACTAAGTTCAAATCTCCCTCTACTGAACATATCGTCTTCCACCATGTCACGAGACTTTTTTTTTTTAAATGTGTACCGAATCCGCGCACTATGCACACTGGTTATGCCTGCAGCAGGGATGTTGCCGGTCTCTTTAAAGCTAATTTTGTGAGTGTGTACCTTTTCCAGCTTCTTCAATGACTTGCCTCACTGCTTTCTTTAGACTGTTGGCCCGCAGCATTATTTCCCTGGGTTTCGCGGCTTTCTGGGAGGAGAGTTTTGCAATGTCATTCACGAGCTGGTCCTTGCTTTCACCCAAGGACTCTTCACTGGACGACTCCACAATATCTTCTTCAGGAATTGGAGGGCCAACCCCTGGGGGAGCTCGACTGGCCTGAGTGTCTGCGTGCAGGGCTTGTAGCAGCTGTTCAAGCTTCTCATTGAGGACTGAGCACTAAGAAAACCAATAAAACATCAACTGCGGTGACAAGAAAATAAACAAACAGCAGCAACAGTGATGAGGAAGAAATTCAAATACATTAGATTGGAAGACACAATGCAAGATCGGTTTTTATATAAGACAAATCTTGAATGATTCTAATCACTGGAGATGAAAACACCAACATTCAAGTAGCTATGGTCTTTTCTTCTGTAGATGTTTTGGGTGGAGAATACATCCACTTTCAATTTAGTGAAGACAGAAAATGATCTTTAAATAAATAAAAAAAAATGAGTGGCTCTTAATGTACAGAAATGCTTACTATTAACTGACAGATAAAGACCTACTGTAGAAAAGACTGAAAATGCTTACAACTCAGGCATCCACCTGTTGATTCATATTTCTGGATCACTCAAATTCTATCTCAGGGTTTAAAGTCTTTCTAGAACAATTTTTTTTTACATATATGAGAGTTTTGCCTGAATGCATATATGCACACCATGCATGTGCCTGGTACCCACAGAAGCCAGAAGAGGGTCTCAGGTCCCTTGAAACAGGTGTTATGGATTGTTGTATGCTACCACATGGGTGCTTGAAACCAAACCTGGGTCCTCAGTGTTCATAACCACTGAGCCATCTCTCCAGCCCCTACAAGTTCAAATCTTTACAACTATGTCAAACTGCTGTTCTTTCTTAGAATGCAACCGATGCTAAGTTGAAAGAGATACAGTACACAAAACACCAGGCTTTCTTGTGAAGTCACTGACGCAGGGCACCCTTAACATCGTGAGCTGCAGGCATGGCTGAGCTGGAGCTCTGTGAGTGCCGACAGCATGGCGGCGTCCAAGAAACAGCAAGAAGGAAAATGCACAGGAGGAGGGTAAAGGGGGGAGGTGCAAAAAGAAAATCAGGCACAGAGGCCTTCTGCTTTTCTTCTTTTTCTACAGGTGAAGAGACATTTGGGATCAAGACTGTTAATGCTACCACCAATGCACCTTCAATCTCCACAGAAGTCTTGGTCTAGCCCCTCTCCATTTCTCTGTCTTTGATGAAAAGCCAAGGCAGGGTCACGGGGGGGGGGGGGGGGGGGGGGGGGGGGGGGGGGGGGGGGAGGACTTCAGAGGCAAACGCGTGGCTAAGAGAGAGTTCCTGCCTTCTGAAACCCTCCATAGGGAAGGAAATGACTGGAATACCTCAATGTTTAGTTTAGCGATGTTGTCCTTGGTACATAAGAAGGCTACTGGATTTTATGTCTTAGTTTTGTATCCTGTCACTTTGCTGGAAGTTTTCATCAGCTCCGAGAGCATTTCGGTAGCGTCCTTAGGGTCTCGTGTAAAGAATCATAACATCAGGCTGGAGAGGTGGTTAAGAGCACTGGTTGCTCCCCGAGAGGTCCTGAGTGGTGGCTCACAACCATCTATAGTGGGGTCCAGTGCCCTCTGGCATGCAGGCATAGATGCAAATTGAGCACTCATATACATAAAACATATAATTTTTTTTTTAAAAAAATCATAACATCTGCAAATTGGGACTGTGAATGATCAGCTGTGGGTGGGACATGAACAGTGATCCCACCCCAACCCCCAAGGCTCAGGGAGCATGGCCAACGAAGAGGGTAAAAAGAATCTAAGTGCTGGAGGACAGAGAGAAGCAGTATGGAGCGGTGGCTTCATGACGTGACATGGCTATCACGCACATGAGCTCAGCAGCTGTGGCATAAGACCGACAGTTAAATGTCCCAGCATTGAGGAGAGGAGGGGTTCCGGAGGCCCCACCCCCAGGCTAAGGAGCTATTGGAAGCTGATGACTTCTTGGGGAGGGGCAGTCAGTTTTCTTTAGGACTGTGGCCATTGATGGATTTCCCCAATCCCCAGCGGATGACCTCACACCCGTGTCCACATGAGCAGCACTAACTGAACTCAGTGGGATTTTTAAAAAATGAAAGGAAGAAAGGAGATATGGTGGGGGTGGGGGCCCGAGAGGAGTAAGGGGTGAATATGATCAAGGTAGAGTGTATATGGGTATGAAAATTTTCAGACTAAATAAAAATTTAAACGTAAAAGGTTTATTTGCATTTTCTTTTTCTTCCACTCAACCCACTAGCTACAGCATGAACTTTAGGGGGAGAAATCCTTCCCAAGCCAAAACTATCCAAGCCTTACGTCAAAAGGCCCTCTCATGAACTTTAAAAGACGCTGGCTTGTAAAGGCAGTATGCTATTCTTAGCATCAGAAAGCTCATAAAGGGAGGAAAAAAACCTGTAAAGGCATGAAATAAATAGAACTTGGAAGGAGACTAGGACTGCTCTCTAGAGAATGGGGGACTCATGCTGGGAGGGAACTGGATCACCAGATTTTGTCTGACGTGGAAAGCCAGGCCTCACCCAACGGGATCATGGCCCCGTGGCATCCTCCTCTGTCAGGGTGATTGCATGTCCCTTTACATCAATCACTGAGAAAGGGATCTGAATCATACAATTTGATTGGCTGAATACTCTCCAACAATGCAGCTTTTGTGCACATTAGAGGATAACCATAAACCAGAAGGTGTTTTTGTAAATCCTCACGTATAATTTAAAAAAAAATCATTTTTTATAGTTAGATATTTTGGCAAGAGCACACCGAGGCAGTCTTTAAAAATACAACACAGCCGGGCGGTGGTGGTGGCGCACACCTTTAATCCCAGCACTCAGGAGGCAGAGCCAGGCGGATCTCTGTGAGTTCAAGGCTAGCCTGGTCTACAGAGCAAGATCCAAGACAGACAGCAAAACTACACAGAGAAACCCTGTTTTGAAAAACCAAAACAACAACAACAACAAAAAAAACCCAAACAAACAAACAAAAACAAAAACCAAAAAAAAAAAAAAAAGCCAAAAAGACATAACGCAATGCTCATAATGTCAATAAACATCTCCCATGCCCCTGATATGTCCCCTTACTTTACTGGCCACGGCTTCAGCTACTACTGTATTTTCCAGTGTTTTCTCCTGTGCCTTCTCCACTTTGGCAACGAAGTCCCTCACAGTTTCACAGAGTATCCTTTGAGGAAGAGAAATCGCACAGTTTAGTCTGTGGGCTCTCACATACAAACATATTTATAAGTAAGTACAAGTAGGCAAATTCAAACTACCCAGGATCATTTTTACATAAGACCACACTTCCATCTGTGTTAATATATCTTAGATACATTTAGGACTTCCTAACTGAAAAGTGGGAATAAACAATTAAGCCTCATTCTCCATACTTAAATTATAGTAAGGCTGCAGTGAACTATTCTTGAATGCTTAAATAAGCCTTAGAAATAATACTTTCAGATCCCCTAGAAATAATGTAGTATCTTCCACAGCTTAGACAATTTTCTTCATGTATAACAAACAGACCCAAGTTCTCCACCATCTACAGGATCTACTGGACCTACTAGTCAGCAAATGGACAGCTTGGTAGCATATTGCTCCTAAAGAGGAAAAGAGGTTGTGGATTGTTACCAACCAATCAGACACTTGAATTGAGTTATGTTCTCTGTAAACCCATCCATTTTTCCCCTTTAAGATAACCAATACAATAATACACAAGCCTAATCCAATTGAGATCTCATTAGTGTCAGCAATATATGGTTTACTTGTTTGTTTCTTTTAATTACATTTGGTGTCTTTGCAAAAGAAATGAAATAAAAGAAAGAATAATGCATACCATATCTGCCTCTCAAAAAGTTGTGTAAAAAAATGACCCACAAAATGGCATATGAATAGACTGGTTTTGGCAACATGTGTACATTGATAGAAACTTCTTGAATGTAAAGCATCTCTATCACTGATATAGATTAAAGAATTTAAAGAAAAAGGGAAAGATGTTCCAGTAGGGTTTTTTTTTCCTACTAAATTTACAACTTTCTCTGGTAAGCAATGGCAGCTTCCAGATATTTCGAAAATCGAACAACGCAATAGGTACATGTATAAGCGCCCAGATGAACTCCACGCTGTTGAACTGGCCATCTAGGTGTATTATTCCTAACAATTTTTGTTTTATTTGTTGCTTAGGGGTTAGATCCACTAGCCATCTAGTCCTCGTCCTCCTGCTTCCTGATGTCAGGGATAGAACCCAGGTCTCCCACATGCTAAGTCAACACTTAACCACTGAGCTACAGGCACAATTTTCTTGGTACTGTTCTCTATTTTTCTTTAAGATTTAAAAAAAAATCTGAGTGTGTGTGTTTGCATGTCCTGCATGTACAACATTCATGCAGTGTCCAAGGAGTCAAGAAGAAGGTGTCAGGCCCCCTGGAACTGAAATTATAAATGGTTGTGAGCTGTGTTGTAGGATCTGGGAACCAAACTAGAGTCCTTAGCAGGAGCAACAGGCTCTTCTTACACGCTGAGCCACTGTGCCAGCCCCTTAAATTCCAATTTTTAAGGGAATTAAGAGAATCTAGCTTACCATTTATTGGAGACTCATTCATGTACTTCACATATAATTTTTACTCTTTGTTAATATATACTTTCATAGAATTTCTTCAAATATGATGTCAGGCTACCACGAAATTTCTTGTATGAAAGGCTGAAGGAAAAACCTGATCCTCTATACCTAAAGGGCTGATGGACTGGTGTGCAAGTTAGGAGAGTGCTTGATGCTTAAATTGTGGGACGAATGAGAAGAAATGTTCTGCCTCGTGCTCCTGTGGTTCCATATTACAAAAGGAATAAAGGCTATTCTAGAGGAATGAATTCATCTAAATAGCGAATTTAGAGTTTCCATAGTGAAATCTATCCTTCAGGTGGGCCAGGTGGTACAGGTTTGTGCTCTTATCTACTTGATGCAGGAGGATTCTAGTTTCAAAGACTGCCCTGGAATACAGTGAGTTAGAGGCAGTGTCCTTTTAAGTTTTCTACAGACAGACTTTTGATCACAGAGCGAGGCCAGCAAAGTCAAATATCTGCTGGGGCCCAGGAAATAGTAGGTGGGTTGAACCCAGGACAAGAGAGGCGCTCAAAGTGTTGAGGTCTGAGCAATCTGAACAATGTATACATTTCTGTAAGCAACACAATTCATTAAATAAACACAAAACAGCCAGGGGCTCTGCTCACTGTGCTACCCTACCCATCTCTCTCTCCATCAACCACAGTGGTCCACTGCTTGAAGTCATTTCCCTTTCCTATTGTTCAGTGCTGTCTCCTGTTCCGTGGGGGATACACCCTCAAAAGCAGTTGACAGTACATTCACACTTCTGTTAGAAGGAAACTTGTCGTGTCCCATCCCTTCCCCCACCCCACCCGCCCTCCAGCTGAGGACAGAACCCAGGGCCTTGTGCCTGCTAGGCAAGTGCTCTACCCTGAGCTAAATCCCCAACTGGAAACTTGTCCGTAATGACTTCTTTATGCTTCTTCTTCATTACAAATTAAGTATGTGATAAGCTGAAACTTGCATTTTTTTTCTCGGGTTTTCTACTTTCCATTAGTTCTTCTGCTCCATCCTTTCCTTCAGCTCCTGCATAATGGTAATGTAGTCACTGAGCAGAATCTGAAAAAGCATCCCCTCACCTACGAGTTGAAAATTTCAGCTGGCACCATCCCCTTCCCCTAGCTGACCTTCTCGTGATGAGAGTGTAGGATACTTTAAAAGTAAACTTGAAATTCCACATTTGGGATAACAATTTAACAGAGCTCCAGCTCCATGTACGAAATTAACTAAAATCTGGTAACTTTGAACTAAAATATAATTATGTAATTTAAATATGTTGAGAAATGTCATTTTGAAGAATCTTATTATTTTCCTTTTAGTGATATAAACAGTTGCTAAATAGAAATGTGTGTACAGGAAATAATAAATTATAATGAGATAGGATTTCCATGTTATAATTAATCATTCCAAACAGACATTTAAACTCGAAATACTTTTTACAGTTTCCTGACAAAAACCTTTCAAAATAAGCAGCAAAATCTTCTCCCTCTGAATAGACTCCATGCAGATGCTAATACAACTACAGAAACCAAGTTCAAATCACTCTATTTAATCCTTTTAAGTCACTTCACATACATTACTAAGGAAAATCAGGAGAGGTGCTGTCAGAGCCAGGAAACACCCTTCCCTTTCATGTTCTCACATAACTAAGCATTTCTTCACGTCAGCCCCACAACTCACTTGGCAGACGATATGACCACCGCATGTTCATCAGAATTGAGGATTTTCGTAAGGTGATTTGCAACAGAGTCTTCATAAAATGTCATCTGGAAAAGAAAACCCTATACTCTATGATTGTCGTTGGTGTCGATACAACCCAGTTACGACTGCTTCAGAAAACAAGACAGGCAGGGCAAATGCTGTCATGAGAAGTGGGGGGGGGGGGGGGGGCGGCAAAGGTTGTCATGAAAAGTGTGGGGGGCAAAGGTTGTCATGAAAAGTGGAGGGTGTCATTATTCAAAAAGTGTGTGTTGGGGGGTCATTATTCAAAAAATGGGGGGGGTCATTATGCAAAAGAAAACTTCCCCTGACTCCCATTTTCAGGTTCTGGAGTTCTTTACATTTTTAGAAAATCCAATTAAAACTCCATATTAATTTTTTAAAAAATTATATATAAACGAATTATATATAAATATAATATAACTATAAGAAGCATTATTAACATGAATACAGTAAAAAGCCAGACTAGTGCGTATAAAATAAGGATGAAAATCTAGAAATCCAAGTGGAATAACCCAGTGAGTGACTCAGTTTCATCATGAACGCCAACAGCAGCAAGCAGAACCTGACAGTTGGCACAGCGTGATGGCAGTGTAAAGTTCTCCTACAGAAAAACTCATGGGTTCTAGGAAGCTACTGGACATTGTCCGTTAAAGCTGAACACAGGCCAGACACCAGAGGACCAAGAAACTCGAGTCTACACAGACAATCCAAAGAAACAGATGTTCACCAAAAGACACAGACTAGATGGAACATTCACACAGGGTTAAATGGAATGTATTTGTTCTATGGACCTACAACAGGACACTGGGAAGGAAAGAGTCACAATTACCCCACAGTACAGATGAATCTGATGAGCTTCATGCTGGGTAGAAGGAGCCAAAGCAAAAACCACACAAAATGATTTCCATTTTATATTCTATTTTCCCATTTTCCTAAACCAGACAGAATTAGTCTAGGCTGTTAAAAGTCAGGACGGTGGTCATCCATGAGAAATATGTGGAGGGCAGGAGAGGGGCCTATCAGGCACTGAAATGTCCTCTTGTGATCTGAGTGTCAGTAACATAAGGTCTGCCTAATTTGTGAAAAATGTCCCAAGCTGTACATCTAAGATATGCACACTTCTCTGCCTACATATTACACTTCAGTAAAAAGGGTTTTTAAAAATTCACTTGTGTAGCCATATGATCTGGTAAGGGACCATAAAATTATATAAGTAAATACTTCTCCTAGACAATGAAACACACTACATTCCCCAATGCCCCATCTCCTTTTCTACTGGACTCAAACCTTACATGCTATTGAAAGAGCCCATTCTCTTGATATGTAAAAATATGCACACTATTTAAACAGCCTTATGCACAGAGTCTTCTGCCAAGTGTCCTTCAAGGGCACTCCCCGTCATAAACTCAGAATTTTCCAGTAGAAATGACGGCCCCATTCAAGCTGGTCCCCAACATTCCTTCACCTTGCTCGGACATCCTCTCGCTCCTTTTCGCCCATTCCCAACAGTTGACTCAGAAATCACTGACGTTTCAGTAAACATTTTCCTCCACAATGCCATTCTGACTGGCACCTTCTTAAAGAAATCTCATTTTAAATGCATAGCCAAGTCCAGCTGTCAGTAGCCAATTTGCAATTCCTACCTCACCTCCTTCAAATGCAGACCACACCTGCAAAAGCAATTTCACCCCACAGTAGCTACAGGTCTCCCAAATCACACAGTATTGCACTGACCCTCTAATCGCCTGGTTCAAATACAAAAATCTGTATCGCGAAAGATCAGAACAGTGGAAACATAGCTTTTAAAAATGCAAAATAGGGCAATACTCTTCAGAGATCAGCTTATCCTCTTCACTGCAGAGCGAATAATATATGACATGGCCAGCAGTTGCATTAATTAATTTATTAGTTACTGTCATTTGATTCATTGGTCATTTGCTACTTGAAGCTTGTATTTATTTGTTCATTACAGATATTCACAGACAAAAATATACCTCTTTTTGAGGAAAAAAAATAATCTTTATGTCCAAGGACAGAATTTATAGATGCCACATTTTAATCTCCTACAGTGTCACTTAGCAGGGTCGCGATTTCCTTTCCTCATTTTGGGAAAAAAAATAATAATAATAACATTTATAAAAAGTTACTCCTGAGAAGATTGGCTTCTAGAAAAACAGCCGTGAGGGTATCGTCAGAGAGGATAATATCACAACTGAAGGTTTTGCTGTATATTAAACAGTAAATATATTAACCTCAACCGGGAGTGTCTCTAGGTGACCCGGCTGTACATCATTTCTGTTTTCCATTTCACATGATTTACTACTTTTTCATGTTTCAGAACACTTTTCAATACTTTCATGTCTGAAAAATACATTCGTCTTCTCTAAGGAATGCCTTTATGTTTCTATTTGCCGTGCCTTGCCTTTGTTTTGACGAGATAATAATTTTCTCAATGGCAAAACAAAGATTTCAGCCCTGAAGACGAGAATTTTCCTAGAGGGAAAAATACACTGTTGTAGATCAAAAGGTCTTAATGAGTCAGAGATAATCTCCTGGAAGGCCAGACTGTTTTAAGTTTCCATTGCTCTGAGGTTTAAATCGATTTGAAAATTTTAGACATTGGTGGCCTGGAACAGGGATGGAAGGGGGTGAGCAGTGTTTCTTCCCTTGCTTGCTCAGGATCAGTGGGCTTAACATGGGACTGCTGCCCGTTCAAAGAGCAGGCTAAGAGAGACACTGCATGATCTTCCAGCCAGGAATCCTGGGACGTGGGTGGGAATATGGGTGGGAGGGGCTTACAGGAGCTGGACTAACACCTACTAGCCAAGCAGGTGCTCAGGACTGATGCAGAGGACGTGTAAACACTCACTAGAGGGTGCTATCTGCTGGCGTTCTGGGTCATGAGGACTGGACCTTGCATGCCTGGTGACTTATATACATCTGCATCTTTAAATCCTCACAGCACTGTGGCCCATGTTACAGACGACGTGGTGAGGTCCACGGAGGCCAGTGACTTAGGGTTCATGGTCACAGAAGGATTCTAACCTGGATCCTCAGGATTCTTTACTCTGAGGGAGAAGACTGGAGGCAGCCAGGGACACCATGAAACAAGCAAGCCGCCACTGACACCTCCCCTGTCCCCAGGACACCCCACTTCAAATGGTCAGTAGACAAAAAGAGATTAGTCTTACATAAAATCCTTCGGACGCTTCTGTGGGTTCAGGAAGTAGAGACGTCTTTGCTGGCAATTTGAGTTCATACGTCATTATACTCCACCTGATGAGAGAAAATCCTTTGGTCTAAAATTTCTTTAAATCTTAATAAACTATTTCTATCTTATATACATACATATATATTTATATTTATATATTTGTGGCCTACAGTCTTGAACCAAGGATGGGACAGACACAAAACTGTGACAACTGTGATAATCCCATAAAACATTGGATTCATAGTTTATCATTTTCACATTCTACCATTTCTCCAGTTAGCAGCATCCAAACATTCCAACACCAGGTCAGGGCAGGAAAAGCTGGTCATCCCCTGACTTACTACCCTTTTTTATAAATTATTTTTATTTTGTGTTTATTGGTGTTTTGCTCGCATGTATGTCTGCGTGAGGGTGTCAGAAGTCCTGGAACTGGGGTTACAGGGAATTGTGAGCTGCCATGTGGGTGCTGGGAATTGAACTCAGGTCCTCTGGAAGAGCAGCCAGTGCTCTCAACCGCTGAACCATCTCCCCAGATCCAACTTACTACTCTTGATGCAATACGTTTTGGCTTTTTCTTTTCTCCTCTACTTTCTAAATCAGCAAAGTAGTAACTAAATTCTACATTTTTTTTTTTTTTTTTTAGGTTTTTCGAGACAGGGTTTCTCTGTGTAGCTTTGCGCCTTTCCTGGAACTCACTCTGTAGCCCAGGCTGGCCTCGAACTCGCAGAGATCCGCCTGCCTCTGCCTCCCGAGTGCTGGGATTAAAGGCGTACGCCACGCCCGGCAAATTCTACATTATTAATGAACCAAAGTTCTAAAATGATGTCTTAAAGAAATGTATATTACCTATGAAAATAAACCATTTCACATTCATCGACTGCTCCTGGCAAAAGAATATGTGAGTGAGCGTGTGTGAGTGTGTGTGTGTGTGTGTGTGTGTGAGAGAGAGAGAGAGAGAGAGAGAGAGAGAGAGAGAGAGAGAGAGAGAGAGAGATGAAAATGATGTAAACACTCCTCAATTTAAGAAAGGGTAATATAAACATGAGATGGAAGAAAATTATTTATAGAAATAATACTTAATTCAAGAAAACATTCCAAGTATTACTAAGTAATTACTAAGTATTGCTAAGTAATCATTCCAAATGTTGAATCATTTGAAAAAGCAATCAACAGGATAATTCCAGAGTAATATTTAAAACAATTCCAAATTTGGGGAGGGGCTAGGACATTAGTACAGTCTAACAAGATGAGAGATAAAGATTTTTTTTATAGATACAGAGTATTATAAAAGCAGTATTACAACACATGAATCTTATAAAAAGCATACACAGCCAATGATGGGACATATAGGCAATCCTAAACCAATGGATCATACACCAGTACATCCTACTGAATTGTTCACACTAGTGAGAATAAGTCGTCGCATAAAAACCCAGAATTCCAGAAACTTCCAATAGGCATATGTTATTTAGATTGTGTGAACTAAACCGTTACTTGTAGCTACTATTCAACTCCCAACATGAAAACATAACTAAGGGCTGGGGAGCTGGCTCCGTGGCTACAGCAGCTGCTGTGAAAGCATGAACCCCGATCCTCAGAACCTACCTACACGCTGGGTGGGAGTGCTAGCCTGTGCATAGTTCCAGCCCGAGAAGACAGGAGTAGTATGAAGTACTAGCAGGAGTAGCCACCTCAGCCAGCTCTGGGTTTAAATGGGAGACCTTGCCTCAGTGAGTAAGAGGGTAGATCAAGGATGATTTCCAGTATCAACCTCAGGACTCCACATGCGCATGCAAACACACATGCATACACACACACACACACACACACACACACACACACACACACACAGAGAGAGAGAGAGAGAGAGAGAGAGAGAGAGAGAGAGAGAGAGAGAGAGAGAGAGAGAGAACATTACAAGTAAAATTATATAATCCGCCGGGCGGTGGTGGCGCACGCCTTTAATCCCAGCACTCGGGAGGCAGAGCCAGGCGGATCTCTGTGAGTTCGAGGCCAGCCTGGGCTACCAAGTGAGTTCCAGGACAGGCGCAAAGCTACACAGAGAAACCCTGTCTCGAAAAACCAAAAAAAAAAAAAAAAAAAAAAAAATTATATAATCCTCCATCCATCCGTGCAACAGACACATATGTTGAACATGCCAAAGTGAAAGGCAGGGTCTAGATCCACAAGAGTGGACAGGCCTCCGAATGAAGCACATGTGTTAGCACAGAAACTCGAAATCACGTAAGTATTAGTGACATCCGCAGAGAAGTAAGAGAACACAGCAATCAAACACGAAAGCCAAGCTCCTTGTAGCTGAACGACTTCTCTAGCCAAAAGACAAGAAGTGGGAAAGGATTCCACCCCAAACCACAACCTTGCAGGCTGCATCTCCCTCCTGGATAGGGAATTCCGGGGGAACAGGGAGAAGAGGCAGCAAGAGTGGCGGCCTGGGTGAGCGTTAGCCCTGGCCATGAGATGCTCCAGGGCATCTCTTCGGCCTGTGTGCTGGGAGGGAGAGGCTAGACTCTGTTGAAGAGCCAGCCCCACTGTTGACGGGCTGCGTGACTCTGACCACGTCCAGCACAGAGACGACAATATTAGCTCATTTGGGACGGCAGTGTCAGCAGCATAAAACGAGGACAACAGAATGCCAGGCCAACGGTCTGGGCCGTTCCTACTCCCACCATCTCCAGAAGTCTGTGTCTGGTCTTTGTAAAACAGTCATAATGATGCTTTTAGGAACCAAGTCCCCGTACAGCTCTAAAGATCAAATAAATATTATTGAAAAGCCTACATGAGGCAGAAGATTAAATTGATTTCTCATCCCTTTTTTTTTATGGGGCCAGGATCACCTGTTTTTCACAAACAGTAACGTCACTAAGAAAACAAAATGGTTCTAATAAAGATCCTCGTCACCTTGGCTCCCTTGTTTTTGGCACGCCAGTGAATGTCAAGTGTGATCACAGGGGTGCTATTTCTCTGCTAACCACAAGGGGGAGTGAGTTTCTAGAGCGCATGTCCTAGGCGGCATCAGGCCCGCCCTTTAAATTTGTCTCAAAAGGTATCCTTTCAAATACTCCCTGCTGCAGCTGGTAAGGTGGTTCAGTAAGGGAAGACGCTGGCACAGAGACTGATGAGCTGGATTAGATCCACAAGAACCACGTGGTTCCAGGGGAGAATCGACTCTGGAAAGACCTCCACACTCTCCATGGGGCAAATGCAAGAACATGCACACGATTAAATAGTCAAAAAAAATCTTTAGTAAATACTCTGAGTTGTTTAGTAAACACAGCATTGGAGCATTTAGGAATTTCTTCCAGGCTGTCTCTCCCTCTCAAGCTGATTTTATTTCATTCAAATCCTTCCTTCCTCTCAGTTTTATTAAGGTAAAAACTGCTAAACACTATGCATTTAGGATATACAGCTGTGGTTTTGGCGTACATAAATCTCATGAAGTCACCATATCACCTGAGCCATCACCCTGACCCATCACCACACTGTTATCCGTCCTTTCTGTTTCTCTGTGTGTATACATGAAGCGTGAGTGTGTGCAAGCGCATGCTCATGTCTGTGAGTTCAAGCACGCATGTGCCACAGCCTGTGAGTGGTGATCTGGGGACAACTTAGTGTGTCGGTCCTCGTTCTCCACCTTGTTGGAAACTAGGTCTCCTGTTTGCCGCTGTACATGCCAGGCGCCTGGCTGCCAGCCTCTGGGACCACGCCTGTGCCTTCCTCCCCTTTCACGCTAAGGAGCACTGGGAAGATGCCACTTCCCTCAGCTTCCAGTGGGTGCTGGGAACTAAATCCAGGCTTGGACAGAAAGGGCTCGACCCACTGAGCCACTTCCCCAGCACCCCCTTATTTCCCTCCCTCCCTCCCTCTCTCCTTTGCTTCCTTCCTTCCTTTCTGACCTCCAGACTCTTAGGGATTGGAGATTCTTGAATCTAGCCCCAGCCCAGACTACAAATCATTATGGCCCAACTAAGTGAGTGTCACCTTCACGCAATTTTGGATAAATACAGGCTAAGGTTCTACCACCCAGCTCTATTTTTCAGTATGCTGTCAGCAAAGGAATCAAGCCTTACAACATTACAGTATGACAGACAAGGTTACCGTACTGAGGTTATCGCTCATCTTAGGATAATTACATTTTTGACTGGTGGCTCCCTGATGCGATTTTGTTTTCAGGAAGAGTTCCACAGATGGCTAATCCTATCAAAGTTGTTTTGATTCATGTGAGCTCAGGTCTGTAATGATATTTTGATATTTGTCCTGTGCTCTTGGGGGTGGGGTAATTACGGCTTACTGAATCTTCTCGTTCCTTAAACTCAAATGCTAAATGCCTTCACCACAGCAGTCAGGCTACAAACACTGTGAGTTCTGTTTTATATATGACCATTCAGAGTGGGGGAGGGGAACAGAGGGAAGAGAGAAGAGGGGAGGGGATGGCAGGGGATGGGGAGGGAATCAAGGACGGTGTAAACATAGTGGACAGTTCTTCATCTTCACGTGTGTTCCAAATAATTCCCTCTGTCTCTGAGACAGGATTCATATTCTGTCTCTCCTCCTCCCTCTCCTCTTCTCTTTCTCTTTCTCTCCCCACCCTCCCCCCCCCGGGCAAACACTCTACCATTGAGCTATATCCCCAACCTGGGCAAGGTTCTTTTATCTTTTTACTATCTAAATAGTGAATGAATTAATGCAGAGAAGACCTTGTAGCAAACTGAACTTGACAATGTTTTTCTTAGGTTCTGGAACCACAAGATGGTGGGTCTTACTATTCCATTCATCAGAAGTTCCAGCTGCAAAGTTAACTTTTGAGCTTCCTAACTTGAACACTGATTAAAAGTGATTGGCGTCCCTGGGCATGGTGGAACACCTCTATAGTCCTGGCACTCCCGGACGATGAGACAGGAGATCTCAAGCTGGAGGTCAGGCTGAGCTACCCTATCTCCAAACTACTACAAAACAAAGATGAATAACTCCATAATCATTTACATTTAAAATAATGAATTCACTAGAACCATTTTTCAGGGTTTTTGTTTTGTTTGGGTTTTTTTTGTCATTCATCCATTCATTCAAAATCATCTTTTATTGAGTGTCTACTTTACACAGGCTCTACTCAGGATCTCAGAGATCAATGAACAAGACCTGGAAGTTTGGACTTTCGGACTTACAGTTAGTGAGACAGAACGTATCAAATAACTTGAGGGTGACATTTTCCCGAAGGAGATTTTCTTTTACCTGTCCAACATCTTGGTACTGGCTCGTTCCAGCTTCTCTAGGATCTGAGGAAGTTGGGTGTCATCATCATATGAACCTCCCCAGCCAAGAACTCGAGCAAGGTCATTGCCTGTACCCAAAGGCAATACCCCAAGCTGGCACTGCAAAAGAATGCAACAGGGACACTTAGAGAGAAGCTGGAAAACAAGGACCCTGGGTTCGAGGCTAGCCTAAGCTACACAGCAAGACCCAAACACCCCAGTGAGCACTTGCCTGTTTATTCAAGTTCAGTTTATCGATCTCTGACAAGACCCAGCCTACACTTCCATCTCCTCCACAGACAAGAATCCGGAAGTTGTCAAACTTCTGAAATAACCTTAAGCTGAAAGTCAAATGTCTATTTTTAGTGTAAATACATAAAAAGAAAACCACTTTCTCCAACTACTGTTCATTTTATAGTCATTATTATCACATTCATATTCAATACAAGAATTCTTATATAAAAGCTAACTTGAGTGCAATAGTTGACTCAAGAAACTTTTGAAAAAAATGTGTTATAAGCAGAGATAAATTAGAAGGGGAAATTAAAAATGAGAAAAACAAGGGTGAAGCAGAATCAGGAAAGCGAACTGAAGGCAAAGTAGACAGTTTCTCCATTACAGGACATGCCATTTCCCGAGGAATTACAAGCCAAGGGAGTGTGGGGAAAACTGAGGCCGTGACTAAAGACAGCTGCCAGCCCTCGCCCGGCCGCACACACGCCCGCACGGCTCTCAGCATCCCCCACTCTCCTCGTCTCTGCCCATCCTTTTATTTCTACCTCCCTTAGAAAACCTCAGGTCCTGTGCAACAGTCTCACAAGGAGAGACGCTCAGAGAGTCAGCGAGTGAACAGCCCCTTCATGAGAAGACGGAGCATCAGCTCCACAGAAGAATCACACACAGGCACTGAAGGAGGATGAAGGACCCCAAGACATACTCCCCCCAGTGGAAATGCCAGGTAGTCATATTCATTTGGGGACTTTAAGGTATAAAACCCCACAGAAGCTCAAGAGACAGTCAACCCGAGTCCCTTATCTCTATCTGAAGTCGGCCTGAGATCCTTCAGGAACTGCCCCTGCGGGCCTAGACAGAACCCCCTTTAGTTAAGTCGTTGACTATGTGCGTTGATATAAACGAATCTTAGTTTTTCATGAAGGTAATTCTCTAATATCAGTTTGTACTTTACATCTATGCACGGATCTCTTGCCTATAGCTAAGCATTTGTTTGATGTAAGACACATACTTAAAATATTTTTATGCACATTTTAGAATTTGGAAGTTTTGATAACAAGTTTGGAACGGATATACGGAAGCTGAATAACATCAGAAAGGTTGTGTTTAAATGTGAATTAGGGAGCACATCTTTAATCCCAGCACTCAGGAGGGAGAGACAGGTCATACCCTGTGAGGCCAGCCTAGTCTACACACAGCTCCAGGTCAGCAAATAATTAGAACTTACACTAGAGACATAGCTTAATGATGAGGACTTGCCCCAGATGAGCACATCTAAAAGTTCAATGACCAGCAAAAGAACAATGCAAAACCAAAACCTGACAAAGCTCAAATAAAGGGAGGAGTGAGAGATGACACCAGAGATGTCCATGGAAACCGTAATTTTCTGTTGTTTTGTTTGTTTGTTTGTTTGCTTGTTTTGTTTTAAGAAAGGGTTTCTCTGTGTAGACCTGGCTGTCCTGGAATGTGCTCTATAGACCAGGCTGGCCTCGAACTCAGAGATCCACCTGCCTCTGCCTCCTGAGAGCTGGGATTAAAGGTGTGCGGCACCACCGCCTGGCGGCTTGGAAACAGTAATTTTCACAGGGAGAAGGGCCAGACACAGCTCACGCTAGCGTATTTTACTCAAGTAAGATTTATCCTTAAGGAATTACCCTAAGTGAGGCCCTCCGTTCATTAAATCAAACACCTGAGCCGGGTTGAGCAACTGCTTAAAGCGACGGAGGAACTTTACTCCCTGGTTATCTCCGCTCTTAGAATTGACGAACACCAAGAGAGGGCTGACACAGAAGGAAAACGTTGCTCTACAGAAACCTGAAAAACAAACCCAGGACAGCATTAATAAGGAGATTTTTTCTCTCTTAAATGACTAACAGACATTTAGAGAAAGTGAGAGAAATGGGCAAAAATAAGGAACCTTTCTTACTGCTGGCACATCACTATAATCTAATCACCCAGTGGGAACTAAGGCTATGATTTACATCCTAGCCACATAAAACTTTCATTTCAGAACATGCTCTGCAGTGAAAAATCACACCAAAGACAATGAAAATCTCAATCACAGAGTATTTGAAATGGACCACCAACTTTATCAATATTTATAAGAAAAGTAAATCTAGACTATGGCTTCCCAGTTGTCAAATAATCCATGTTCAGACTCGGTATTTTAAAATATTCCAGTTGTTCTTTTGTAGAGGCCTGAGAAAATACTTGATCATTTACAACAAACCAAAGATCTATCTGGGGTGGGGAGAACTATCAGGAGCTCATCCTCCACACATTCCATCCATATATTCTTGTATCAAGAATCTGCACATGAAGTATGGCAGGGACCAGAATGACACACTGCAAAAGCCATTTGTGACGTGGCTTGTGGGAAAGGAAGTAATGAATGTTTCTTCCAAAACTAGTGATGTTAGAAAGTTTCCTCGGCAGTAGAAAGAGCAAATGCATTTAGAGGACCACAAGATCCTGCAATGAAATTACAGGAGAACAAATTTTAATAGTAGCCCATGCTGATGGGCAGTTTCCACCATGGCGAAAGAACACACATAAATGAACCTTTTAGTATTTCAGTAAAAAATGATAATCTTCCTTCATCCATTGGGATGCAAAAAAAAATAATCTAAAAGTCTTATGTATGGTGATATGACTAATGTGTTCATGGTTACACTACAACTTTCATTTCAAAATATTCATCTGGGCTGGGGATGTAGCCGAGTGTTTGGACACATGCCTAGCTCTTCAAGATCCTGGCTTTTTTTTTTTTTATCCCCAGCATCACAAAAATTAATTAGTTAAACAATCAAATATGTCTTCCAGCATTTATAAAAACTGACCAGAATAGCAAATTACAGTTTATCATAGAAAATTAAATATGCCAGAAATACACATACTTACACTACTGCTACGTACCATCAGAATCTGTGCTATTTAGTGCAATCGGAGGTATGATAGATACTTTACACTGGCCAAGTGGACAGACGGGATGGTACAAATCTTTGCAGGCAGTGTGTACCTAATCAACAAAGAAATTTTCGAAAATCATAAAAACAGTAAACCAATGCTTTTCTGTGTTATAAGCTCTATCTACAGACCTGCTCGTTCAGGATCAATACCATCACAAAACGTTCAGTGATTAGTAAGGCCCTATAGGCACATTACCCTTCCGAGGGACAGGCTAGCACTGTACATGAGACTGGTCTGGGTAGTCTATGCCTGAGGTTGTTTAAAATAAGTAATACGTATTCAGTGAATGCCTGGTGAAGGAAAAGAGGAGAGATGGGGTGTGGGAAGAAAGGCAATGGGGGTGGGAGGGACAGACGGACAGAGGGAGGGATGGACGGAGGGAGAGGGGGGGAGAGGAAGGGAGGGAAGAGGGATGGAGGGAGGGAAGAAGGGAAGGGTGAAAGAGACTATCTTAATATCATATCCATAACCTTTAATAACAGTAAATAAGACCTGCAATGGGCCAGCTCTTTCTGCAGTGATCCCACAACTGTCTAGTCAAATTGGCCTTAGTTTCCTTACGTATGTGCATGTGGTGTTACATGCACATCCCTGACTATCTCCTCAGCTAGACCACTGCCCCACGAGACAGGAGAGAAGCAGAAGACCCAAGCCCACCCAAGACATTCTGAGTAAGAAAACACAGGGCCAATTCACCTTGGAGGAGCCTGGCTGCTCGGAGGGCTCTGTGTGTCCATGTGTTAACTAAGCCCAACCTTTCAGGAGGAAAACTAAAATTTAACAGAAATTTTCATTCTCCTGACAACAATTTTTAATTAGGACTTATAATAATAACACAAATACATTTTAGAAAAATGAGTGTGCACAGGTAGTTTTTTGTTTGTTTGTTTGTTTGTTTGTTTGAGACAGGGTTTCTCTGTGTAGCCCTGGCTGTCCTGGAACTCACTCTTGCAAACCAGGCTGGCCTCGAACTCACAGAGATACTCTTGCTTCCACTTCCCAAGTGCTGGGATTAAAGGCGTGCATCACCACCGCCTGGCTAGACAGTTTTAAAAGGAAGAAAGTGTGAGACTCGTGGGGCAACACAGAGAGAGATTTGTGACAATGTCACTGAGAAAAGCCAGGTTAAGTGCACAGACACTGTTCTGTCCATTGCATGCTGAACCTCCAGGGTGGTGGAATGTCAGGCTTTGGTGCGGTTCTCACTTGCTTTGTTTGGCCCTTTGGACTAGGTGATGGGAGGAAGCACTGGCTACCCTCCAGCACCAAATCACCATCTAAGGGCAAAACAACAAGCACACCAATAAAGAATAGCGGAGGAAGGAGGAGACTAAAAGAGCTGCCACAAGAGATCGGGGACAGAAAACTGTGTGTAACTGACACAAAATAGGGCAGGAATAATGAGGGTGAGAGTTCAGCTTGCCGGGGAATAAAAGGGGGGGGGGGAGAAAGACCTTCCAGAGTGCCTCCATGCATCACCTTTAACAGCCACGCCATTCTCTAGAACTGACGTCAGTGCAGAACGTACCCTTAAGTACGGTCTCATCAGCTCGCACTGCCAAGTACTGCTGAAAACTACTGAGTCATCCAAGTAAATGCATAGACACTGCAGACGAGGACGGACGGCATGTACACAGCCTCTCTCTGTCACCACACAGACGACGTGCTTCCCTTTCAAAAGGTGAGAGGTGAACAGCTAAACCCCAGAGGAGAGAAACAGCCGTAAAGACATGGCTGCTAGAGACAGCGGCAAACGGGAGGAGCGGCGAGCTGCCCACGGCCATGGTAGCTGAAAGGACGGTTTCAAACGACGTTTGTGCCGGGAACTGGAGAGATGGGGAGTGCCTGAGAGCACGTGCTGTTCGGTTCCCAGCACAGACAGGGTGACTTACAACCTTCCTCTACTCCACCTTCAGAGGATCTGGCACCGTCTTCTGGTCTCCGTGGGTACCAGGCACACACACACACACACACACACACACACACACACACACACACACACACACTGCACATACACACATTCAGGCAAAAGCACTCATACACATAATACATTTAAAAAATAATATTGTTTGTGTGTAGTGTTCCTTTAAAACAAGGAATGGTGTAAGAGGGCTTTGGGGGCTAGGGGTGTACTGAGATGGAAAAGACACCCGTTACAGTCTACACGTTATTATAATGTTGTGTTGACTGGCTTTTTTTGTGAGCCCAACACACGCATCTTGCTATGGGCATCTTGGAAGAAACCTCAGTTGAGACAATGCCTTTGTAAGGCTGGCCTGTAGGAAAGCCTGCAGGGCTTCTTCTTGATTGGTGGGTGATGTGGGAGGGCCCACGCACATGGGAAGTGGCATCCCTGGGCTGGTGGTCCTGAGTTGTATAAAAAAAAAAAACAGGCTGAGCAAGCCAGTAAACAGCACTTTTCTGTGGAATCTGCTTCCTCCGCCTCCGGGTTCCCTTCTTAAGCTTCTTAGGCTCCCATCAGTGATGGAAGGTAACAGACCCTTAAGCCAAAGAATCCCTTCCTTCCCATCTTCATTTTGGTCATGGTGTCTTTATCACAGCAACAGAAAGCTAACGGTCTGAGACCACGGTGAAATAGAAGGAACAGCAACACACATACGGTTTATAAGCCAGACCGATGAGAAACGCCACCGCGCCGGGACAAAGGGAGTCATGGCTAATTTAAAAGCTGGGAGGAAGCACGGCTCACCTATCAGACCTGCCTGAAACGCTGCAGGATTTGCTTTGTCGGAAGTCAGTCTCCTTAATTATCCCATCAACTCACCAGACTCACATCCCTTGTGCTTTGTGCTGATCTGCTTCCCACTTAAGAAAAGCAGTGGGGCCGGGCGGTGGTGGCGCGCGCCTTTAATCCCAGCACTCGGGAGGCAGAGCCAGGCGGATCTCTGTGAGTTCGAGGCCAGCCTGGTCTCCAAAGCGAGTTCCAGGAAAGGCGCAAAGCTACACAGAGAAACCCTGTCTCGAAAAACCAAAAAAAAAAAAAAAAAAAAAAAAAAAAAAAAGAAAAGCAGTGGGTTTTCCACATTTTTTCTTTCTTTTTTTTTTTTTTAATTTATTTTGCAATACAATTCAGTTCTACATATCAGCCACGGATTCCCTTGTTCTCCCCCCTATGGCCCCCCTCACCTTCCCCCCAGCCCACACCCCATTCCCACCTCCTCCAGGGCAAAGCCTCCCCCGTGGACTGAGATCAACCTGGTAGACTCAGTCCAGGCAGGTCCAGTCCCCTCCTCCCAGGCCGAGCCAAACAATCCTGCATAGGCCCCAGGTTTCAAACAGCCAACTCATGCAATGAGCACAAGATCTGGTCCCACTGCCTGGATGCCTCCCAAACAGATCAAGCCAATCAACTGTCTCACCCATTCGGAGGGCCTGATCCAGTGGGGACCCCTCAGCCATTGGTTCATAGTTCATGTGTTTCCATTCATTTGGCTATTTGTCCCTGTGCTTTATCCAACCTTGGTCTCAACAATTCTCGCTCATATAAACCCTCCTCATTCTCGCTAATTGGACTCCCAGAGATCCACCCGGGGCCTAGTCATGGATCTCTGCATCCAGATCCCTCAGTAGTTGGATGAGGTTTCTAGCACAACAATTAGGGTGTTTGGCCATCCCATCACCAGAGTAAGTCAGATCGGGCTGTCTCTCGACCATTGCCAGCAGTCTGTTGTGTGGGTATCTTTGTGGATTTCTGTGGGCCTCTCTAGCACTTTGCTTCTTCCTATTCTCATGTGGTCTTCATTTACCATGGTCTCCTATTCCTTGTTCTCCCTCTCTGTTGTTGATCCAGCTGGGATCTCCCGCTCCCCCAAGCTCTCTTTCCCTCAACCCTCGCCTTTCATTACCCCCACTCATGTCCAGGCTGTTCATGTAGATCTCATTCCATTTCTCTGTCATTGGGTGATCCCTGTGTCTTTCTTGGGGTCCTGTTTTCCAGGTAACCTCCCTGGTGATGTGAGTAGCAGACAAGTCATCCTTGTTTCATGTCTAGTATCCTGCTATGAGTGAGTACATACCATGTTTGTCTTTCTGAGTCTGGGTTACCTCACTCAGGATGATTTTTTCTAGATCCATCCATTTGTCTGCAAACCTCATGATGCCATTGTTTTTCTCTGCTGAGTAGTATTCCATTGTGTATATGTACCACATTTTGTTTATCCATTCTTCAGTTGAAGGGCATCTGGGTTGTTTCCATGTTCTGGCTATTACAAACAATGCTGATATGAACATAGCTGAACAAGTACTCTTATGGTGTGGTTGAGCATTTCTTGGGTATATGCCCAAGAGTGGTATAGCTGGATCTTGGGGGAGATTGATTCCCAATTTTCTAAGAAAGCGCCATATTGATTTCCAAAGTGGTTGTACAAGCTTGCATTCCCACCAGCAGTGGAGGAGAGTTCCCCTAGCTCCACATCCTCTCCAGCATAAGGTGTCTTCAGTGTTTTTGATCTTAGCCATTCTGACAGGCGTAAGGTGGTATCTCAGAGTTGTTTTGATTTGCATTTCCCTGATAATTAGGGATGTTGAGCAGTTCCTTAAATGTCTTTCGGCCATTTGAGTTTCCTCTGTTGAGAATTCTCTGTTTAGTTCTATAGCCGGGTTTTCCACATTTTAAAGTGTGTGTGTGTGTGTGTGTGTGTGTGTGTGAACTTGAAAATTTAAAACACCAACATTAAAAAGACTGTAAAAATACCGCCAAACAAATCTACCCCCAGTGGAAGGCAGTCACAGCCGTGGCAGGACAACACAGCCAACAGTAAGCAGAACTGCGCACAGCTGCCCGCCCAGCTGTCTACATGACCCCTTCCTCACACTCACTGTCCTCATTCAGTCAGAAACCCTGTCCTCATAACAGCTGGCAGAAACGAGACAGAAATGAGAATCAATTCCTTGATTCACAGGCAAATCTTTAAAAATATTTACCTATATAACATCCCTATAATTCCCATCGCATCAATGCGTAGCCTGTGGAGTTTGGTATGGTGTCAGGGGACAGATGGAGCACTGCAGCAAAATTATTCAGATATCAATGATAACCTGGGAGCACACTGGAGCAGGGCTTTCTGAGAGCACCGTGTAGTTTTTTTGGGGGGGCGGGGAGTGTGTACTGAAAATAAATTACAATGTGATGAAATCAATACAGAAAAACAATTAGCTCTGAAAAGGGGGTCCTGTGACGTAAGAAATAGCTGAACACAAGCAACTACTGTAAATGGGCCATTTGAAAAAAGGACCCGGGCATAAGTGAGAAACGCACGCACGCACGCACGCACGCACGCTCGCACACCGCGTGTCATTGTCACATTAGAGGGAATACACTTTAAAAACATAAATGAGCACTATTATGTCACAAAAGGGTGTGTGCACAACCAGGGCCTGCTCTTACCAGAAATCATTTGCTTTGCCCCTGGAGCACACAGAAGACCAAGTCAGGAAAAGCAGCTAATTTAAAGTCATAGAGTCACTCTAAGCCCTCACCATTGTCTTACACCAGAGGCATTTCCAGTCCTGCAGGCGGAGGACACTGCCACACGTTTTGTCGCAGACCGCACACTTGGCACTCACGGGTAAGTTGCCTTCAAGCCATTGGTGAGGCATGGCGACCTGTGGACAGGAGGGCAGAGTGGTCAGAGCGAAGCCTGAGGATGCCACCCTCACCCTGCAGAAGGCAGGAACGGCTTCCTACTCTACAGCCTCGGTCATGTGTATGCTGAGAGTCCATCATTCATTTCCTCCACACCTATGGACCACCTATCATGCCTGAATCCTAAAGGTATACAAAGAGAAGACAAAAGGCTCACCCTCTGAGACTCAGCAGAAATCTAGCTGAGGAGAAAGGCGTGCAAAGGCTTTGGAAACAGTGACCTCTAAAGGGGTTCACAGGCAAGATACAATGGAGTCCAGGTTTGAAGCGGGTACTACTGTGGGGAGGAAGCCCAGAATCCGCAGAACGAACATCTCAGCTAAGACTTGAAGACCACTGAGTTTGTCAGACAAAGGTCCTTAACGGCAACCCAGCCAAGAAGCACTCCCAAGTCTTACTTAGAACAGATTCCCCTACAAGCGGAGAACCGAGGAATGCTATGACGCCATCAACTAAAAATCAAAACTTAGGATCAACGAACACTCGCCATCTAACCCAAATAACCCACAGCCCCACTTAACTCTCTGTCATTATGCTCCGCAAGAGCAGGACATGAGAGGAGTTGCCAGGGAAGGGGGCGGGGCCACAGCAGCTTACACCATCCTCGTCCTCAATGATATCCTTCCCGATGGAGGCCAGTGTGGTCCATTTGCAGTTATTAGTTGCCCTCACCGCACATCTTTTGTGAGCCTTGAACTTACACACTAAAAAAAAAAAAATGATAATCATAAAAGTCAGGGGTTTCCACATGAAGGAAGTTAGGATGAAATTTTCAAAGGGGGGGAATTGTGGGGTGGAGGGGAGGTGGGGGCTGGAGGGGAGGTGGGGGGTGGAAGGGGGCAGGAGGAAAACAAGGTTCAAAGAAAAGGTTTAAGCTCCAGAAGTGGTAACTGAAATCTTAAATTTTAGTGTCTTGATATTTATGAAGCAGTTAAAATGTAATATAATAGATTGCTGCTAAGAAGCGAAATTAAATAAACACAGAGAATTGGTTCTTCAGAAAAGAAAAACAGAGACACGCACACACACTCAGAATAATCCAGTAACAAGAGTACTTGTAAAATATCACTTCTCAATCTAGGTGTAGATCGGATGTGTTTCATTTGAGAAAATTCATTGAGGTCTGCATTTCCGGCATTGGCACTGTTGTATGTTTACATTAATGGTTTGAACCTGTCATAAGGTAAAGGTAATCCAGCAATATTTTCAAGTTCAAGTACATGAAGAAAACCATCAGACAGCGTGGGACGTAATCATAAGGATGAAAAAGTAGTAATTCCAGTACTGGAACTAGAGGCAGGTGGATGGCTAGGAGTTCAAGGCCAGTCTGGAATATAGTGAGTTCCATGCAAGGACAGATGGTCAAATCCTTCATTACTTCAAACATCCTGCCACGGAATGAAACAGCTCGTTTAAAACAAGCAGCACGCTTTATAATAAAATGCTGCGCACAATAGGCCCTGGGACTAACAAGCCGCATAGCAGCAATGCTGGGAAACCAGACTGTTGCTATGGTCACCAGGAAATGCAAGCGACTTTCCTGCACCTACATTTTGTTAGGCGGCAACTGAATTTCTTCTGAGAGGGATGAAAAACAGCACGTGCCCTGGCTAATCGTGTCATTATCTAAAACCACAAAACTTCACAAATACTGTGGTAAAATTAGGACTTTTATTCCAATATTTAGTCTTTGCCGTGCTGGATCCTCCCAAATATTAAATAGTAGTTGATAAGTATCCATATTTATATATTTGATATTATAGATTTCTTAAGACTACCACTTAAACTTGTTTCATTCAGATACTATTTAAATAATCATGAAGGGTAATTTCTCCCTAGGATGATACTTAACATTCTCAATGAAATGAAGAAATTATGAAAAGTGCTGTATTAATTTTTTTTTATAATGAGTCTATGCCTGTCTGACTTCTGTTTACATGTCTTAAACGCGGTCACAGTCTGGACTGGCAGGAGAGGAAGAGGGTGCCATTGCAGAACTCCATCTCAATCCCCAGACTCAGAGTAAACAGTTGATACAAGGCCAATCCCAGGTTTTCCCATCTGAAAACCACTAGAAGTGAGATTCTATCACTACTTTAACTTAAACCCTAGCTCACAGTGCTCAAAATCACTTAAGATGTGACTGCATTTTCGAAGCAACTGGTATCGATTCTATACATGGTTCAAGGATAATACCCAACACTCCCCGTTCCTCACCACGGAAGACACGGGCTTTCCCTTAGGAGCTGTTGACTAATCTGCCTTTGGTACTCACAGTTCCTAAATTAGTAACTCACACATCTTATAATTAAAATTATAGCATTTTAAAAAAGAAAAGAAAGAAAGCACTAGCATGGGTGTGGTGATATTGTGTCCCCCAATATATTGTGCATCCTAGTAAACTTATCTGGGGTCAGAGAACAGAACAGCCACTAGACAGACACAGAGGCCAGAAAATGGTGGCACACATGCCTTTAATCCTATCACTTGGGAGGCAGAGATCCACCCAGATCTCTGTGAGTTCAAGGCCACACTGGAAACAGCCAGGCATGGTGGCACATGCCTTTAATCTCAGGAAGTGATGGCAGGAAGCAGAAAGGTATATAAGGTGTGAGGACCAGACAGGTGCAGCAGAGATCCACCAGAGACTTTCAGTTTGAGGAAACAGGATCGGCTGAGAAATTGGCGAGATGAGGTTAGCTGTGGCTTGTTCTGTCTCTCTGACCTTTCAGCGTTCACCCCAATACCTGGCTCCAGGTTTATTTTTATTAATAAGACCTGTTAAGATTCGTGTTACACATGGGCCTTAATTTTAAAGAATCTTAAAGAAGTTTTAGATGACAGTAGGAGGATGAGATGGTGTACAGTGTTCGCCTAATGTACACGATGCTCTGGGTTCAATCCCCAGTGTCGTGCAGAGCAGAAAAGGAAATAGCAATAGAATATCCATTTAAATGAAGCTTAAGTAAAGGAAAATATTTCAAATAATGCAATATAAATAACCATTAGGAATTCTGCCAACAAATGTACATTGGTCTCCACAGTCAATTAGAACAAAGAACACTAGAATGTTACCAAGCTCAAGGGATTTTTAGATAGTAATAGTTTTTCAAGAGAACACTGAATTTTGACATAAGCTTCCTTTCAAATGATTTCTGTTGAGCAACAGTATTTCCCCAAATCAGTCCCACGTGTGTAGAGCCCAACACTGAACTAGAAGAAAACTTAAATCTTGATTTAAATAAACGCATCTCCCAGGCCTTGCCCCCGACAGTGCTTTTCTGCAGTCTGTCTGTCTGCTTCTTTCATGACCACGCGTCTACGGTACTTCGGCTGTTGGTAGGGCATAAATGCAGAACGCTACGGTACCTTCGCAGGACAGGCCATGGGAGGTAACTCCGGAGAGGCTCTCTCTGCACACGTTACAGAAGGTAGGCCGGGCATGGGAGCAGGCATACCAGTTATGCATCCCTGAGAAATGTTCCACATTAAACTGAGCCACCTGGAAAGGAAATGTTAGGTCAGAGTTGCCAAACAGGAGACCAAGGCTAGAGACTCACAACTATCTGCAATATCCACTCTCCAGCGAGGACCCAACTATCGACCCATGAGTCTGAACAGCAAAGCACTTGAAGTAAAAACAAGATCTACGTCAGTTCTAATGAGCCTGCCAACACTTCCTTCTGCACAGGCTAGCTTGGGCTGTGGCAAAGGACATGAAACAGGTACTTTACCTCATAGGGTTCTCTGCTCTGCACTGACTTCAGAGAGCTGATCCAATCTTCCATCTCCTTCCTGTTCTCAGCACATAGCATCAGCCTTCTGAATGGAGTGATTATCTGAAAGGAACAATTCAGTCTAGTGAATTGAATAGTTATTATGAATAACCGACAAGAGGGGTTTCGGAAAGCCCAGCCTCTTACAAGGCAGTTCCAGCTCTTCTAGGTCTTTATTTCCTCGATGAAGAAGAGGTATCTGTAACACCGAGGAGTTTTGTTCTGTGTGACAGAGTGTGTTCCAGGGAAGGATGGTACTCGGGACTCTTTGCCCGTCTCTGACTCTGTTGCTACTAATCAGGCCTTTTAGCTCTTTCTAAGGATGACTCCCACAAATAAACAAGCATTCTTACTGTATGGAATGCATCTTGAAACCTGGTTTTAAAATACACTTCGAAGTGATTTGCAATAACACATAGCTTTCAAAATGGAAAAGAGTTTTAAATTGAAAATGTAGTCTTAAATTTCATAACTGACAGACTATGCTATTTCCACCACCTGTGTGAATAAGAGTTGTACGAAGGCTTTTCCCTCTCACTGTGTAGAAATTTATTGCACTACTTTTTAGTCAGAGCGAAGTGGGAGACAGCATAAAAATTCTCGAGGAAAGAAAATAATTGTGACTTTCTTTTTTTTTTTCATGACACTGAGAAAAAGCAAATTAATTGTATTAAGAACCTTAAAGAAAGTGGAGTGGAAAACTACAGCCATTTTAACACCAAAGGTGCTTCAGAATACGCTTCCAACTGAATTCTGCTTATCAATAAAGCCTAGCGTGGCTGCTGCCTTGAGACCACTGAAACCTAAGCACTCACAGCAAGGAAGGGCCCGTTTACGGACTGCCAGACAACAGCAAAATGCTGCGTCCCTCCCAAGAAATTACTTTCAAATCGTATATTAGAGATCTATTTATACAACAAATAGAAAAACTGCCCGAGTCCAATCTCTTGATCAACTAACAAACTAAGTATTTTACCATATATACAGCAGATATCATGAATGATTTGGAAGAAAAATCATCTATAAGAAAAAGAAAGGGGGACCATTCCCTAAAGAGGGAACTGGTGGACTTAATCACCCCTGATCTAAGCGCGTAAGTCTACAGCACAGGCAACAGAGAAACGAGCCCGTCTGAGCCACTCACCAGCCACTGCCGCCTCATTAGACTACACCATCTTCCAGAAGCCCAGAAGCTTTCACTACTTCTGACAGGCACTCGCACTTAAATAGAGCCAGCCCACCGTCACATGGCACAGGGGGGGCACCAACCGTGCGGCTCTGCGTCTTTGTTAATTGCACATGAAATCGAAGACAGCCTCACTTTCGAATTTTCTTGTTTGAAACGACCTTCTTTGGGTAAAGCTTATTAGCAGTTGGTCACTTCTCTTCCTGAATAAATAGTTAATGCAAAGAGCAATGCCTCTCTCATTACTTGGAAGGCAAATGGATGCTTTATTGCTTCAAAATGTTTTTCTAGGGCAGTTCATCAAATGTGGCAGAGAGGTACCATTAAATCATAATATACTCCTGGCTCTGGAGGCTGGCCCAGCGTCCAGAAACCTCCATGTTCCGCTGGCTCACTAATGCTATCTGAATAAGTATTGCCTCTATCAGTTATTTGACTTTAGCTATACGATGGGGGGTAAATAGAAGGGTTCCTTTCACATGTCATTCCATTCTTTGATTTTGTTCTTTGTGAAATTCTAGGCAAGGCTCGGTGACTGACAATCAAAACTAAAGAAGCTTTTAAAGCCATCACGAATTTAAAAGGCAGGGGAACAAAAGGCAGGTGATGGCTTCTAAATTTTCTTAGAGATTTTTGGAACTAGACAGATACTTCAATTCTAAGTGATTCCAGCTAGACTGCATAACTCACTCATGGGCACACCTTACATGCTAATGAAGAGTGTATATTTGTGATTTCCACTTTTGAAGCAAGACTTGCTTAAAGATGAGAAGTCATGAGCAAGCGAAGATCATCATACACAAAAATTCAGACCCAAAAGTAAGTTTGTTTGTTTGTTTGTTTTTTAATTTTTTTTTTTTAATTTTTTTTTTTTTTTCGAGACAGGGTTTCTCTGTGTAGCTTTGCGCCTTTCCTGGAACTTGCTTTGGAGACCAGGCTGGCCTCGAACTCACAGATATCCGCCTGGCTCTGCCTCCCGAGTGCTGGGATTAAAGGCGTGCGCCACCACCGCCCGACCAAAATTAAGTTTTTAAAGGCAAAAAGACAGTAGAAATATTTTGATGGGTAGGCCTTGTGATTAATCACAATTAAGAATCTACTAATTGCAAAACCACACTCTCAGAAGTCAGTATGAAAAGAAATCAGTCCTTCATAAATGTGGAACAGAGACATCTGGCTTTGTGGCTACAGAGCTCAAGAGCCCAGCTGTCTGGGCTAAGTCAAGCTCTGCTCAGCCAGCAAACCTGCAGCCTGCAAGCCTTGCCTCTCCCCTCCAAGCTTCCATGTACTCGGTCTCCTCCCACAGCCATAGGGCTGACACACAGGCTCTGGTTATTCTCCAGCTGAACTCCATCACCACAGCCCTGCTTCTCACCAAATTTTATATGGGAGAGGTAGGAAGGGCAAGTTTAGAAAATTATTTGCTTCTTAGCTGGCAGTTTATCTGCCTCAGACTCTGTTATGATCATAGGCAGCCCCTGTCCTAATGGGAAGCAACAAGAGTTCCTCTCATACACTGGGGGGGGGGGGGGGCGGGCTATCTTCCTACATCTGTTAGGGTAAGTCCAGGAAGTTTCTGGAACCAGAGGCTGTGCTACCTTCCTCAAAGGATCTGAAGCTTACCCATCCTAAAGTGTTCCCTATCCCCTATCTGTAACTCACTCTTCCTGTTACCCCAATATCATTGTTTACACACACATCTGAACTATTAGTGTCCTTGAACTATGACAGCCCCCGAGACTCTGGAGCACACACACGTGTTCACCTGTCATTTACTAAGTATGTGCAGACTCTGCCAAAGGCAGAGAAAACACGGCAGGGTTGGCCACAGGAGTCTGTAAGGGAGCAGAGGAAACCACCGATTTACTTGTCTGGAAAAGTGCTAGGGTACCAGGCGGTGGCATCTAAATTGGTTTCCTAAATGGTACCTAGGAAAGTAGAAAAACTTCCATTAGTAGAATGGTTAACAGTGAGAGTCACTGGCAAAAGATCAATCCAACCACACTATTACTCACTCCTAAGACTCAAGAATCTCCCAGTCTGGCTGGGTAAGGAAACTCTCTTACCCAGAAATAGGGATGGCTGAGGCAGAAAAATGTTTGAGGCCTTCCTGGACAAGATAGTAAGTTCCTCTGCCAGGCTGGGCTATATACAGTGAGACCCTGTTTCAAAACACCCCCTCCCAAAAAATAATTCAGTCTGATACAGCATTAAATATAAAATCCGATGGAACCGGGACACCAAAGTTAGACTGTAAATATGCTGATGTGTACAGAAAAAAAAACACAAAAACAAAACCCAGATAGATAGCCAAATGCAATCAAGAGATTACAGACCAATTTAATTTTTTGTTCATTTATCTACAGTTTTTAAAGTAAATATATAGTGCTTCAGTGATAAAAACAATTTGATTTTTTTTTTTTTACTGACAGAAAGATGGGAGGTTTAGGATATAAAATTGTACAGGAAGGTTTTGGTAGGGAGAGGGATGAGAGGAGAGGGAAGGATGAGGAGGCAGGAAGAGGGACAGCTAATACTAAAGATGCTTGGCAAAGCTATGTAGAAACCTACTGTTTTATATGACTCCTAAACAGTTTAGCTGGAGTTATCTTCCATGAAGGATAAAGGTTGTCAAATAAAAAAGCCCAGGGTCAGCAGTGGATACCTGCCCTCCAAGTGTTGGTCAACAGTGTTCCAAAGAACCCCACCACCACCACCACCACCACCACCACCACCACCACCACCACACAGACACAAAAATACAGCTTACTATCATTGCTCTTGGTTGCCCATCAGAACTTCATGACAAGGCCCTATTGCTGAACACACACCATACACTTTTGTCTCAGGACATGGAGAAATCAAGTTGGTTTTGATATGAAATCATCCCCTCTGCTGGCTAGCTTTCATAGTTCTGGAAGCGAAGTGCTATACAGGGTGCCTGGGACAGGAGCTGGGGAGAGGGGTGGGGGGTTCACGAACAATCTTACCCAGCTGTGAACGGTGTGAACTAAAATGATGATTAGTGTGGCAAGGTATATCCATAGGTGGCACAAATGTTACAGAGGTAACCGACCATTTTCTGATTGGACTTCAAAGTTCACTCCATAGGAGGAGATGTCTGCTGGTACTGTGACCCTAGCCAAGAATCCATGGTCGGAGAGTTCATAAGTCCCTGGGTGAACCTACTACTGTTATTCTGCTAAGCGGATACAAGGTCAAACTGAGCTCTAAGGACGCATCTCTAAAACCATACATTAGTGCAGACCTCAGACCTCATCACAAAAGTTTCCTTTTAGCAACGGACAGTGGTTAATGCAGAAACCCACAACTGATCCAAGTACAGAGAATAAATATCTGTGGGATGCTCAGCTACAAATAAGAGAGAATTTTAACACGCCATTGTTACTATCTATCATACCTAAGCTATAGAAGACACAGAGCTCCTTGCTTTAACTCAGACATCCGGCTCTGCCATAAAGGAAATTCTCCGACATTCTCTGGTCATTTTCCAAGTCCAACAGCTTTTTCTGTTAGGAAACCCTTATTTCTGATCTAATGTTCTACCTGACTGCATCCACTCTGTTCGAAACAAGCTGTGTTTTAATCTGGATCCACCTTGCTGCAATACGAGTTCACACAGAGTGAGAAGTCTTTCCTGGAGAGCGGTTCAGCAGGAATTGTAATTTAGCTATAATAACTTTATCATCATATTTATTAGAATTTGACTTTCTCCACAGACTAATCAGATCCAAGGGTGAGCCTTTTCAACACTGGCTTTGCTATCCCTGTAGATTGTCAACTGCTCAGTCTTAATATACTTCCATCCTTCCTTATGAAATCTAGACCCAGCTCTTTAATTACACATGGTGCCTTT